AGGAATACCAGTAAGCATCTCCATGGCAACATGTGTTAAAAGTGGTTGTTAATTAATTTATCAAGTATGAGTGAAATGGAATAGTTTAAATGAATGTATTAGGTGTATTTAGTATATTAAAATTATAATATTCATCAATATTGTCATATGTTAGTTAACAATAAAAGCTTTAAGTCTGGTACAATCACTGATATAAGCATTGTTGGTATTTATTGTTTCCATTAATTAATTCACAAAGAGGTGGAATATATAGATTTAGGGACATTTTCTAGGTTTAGTCTTCAAAATTATTCAATTGCCATGCTTTAACTGAAAAAAAGAAAGTAAATGTTCACTGTACTATCCCAATAACCGTACTATCCCAATAACTGGGAAAATAATACAAAACTGAAACATATATTGTCTGGCAGTAATTAGATCTTTCTGTGTTAAAAGGTTGATTTAAAATTTGTTTTATGCTGGTAAAAATGTTCAAGCTATGTAAGACGTAAATTGAAAAGGAAAAATATTTTTCAAAAACAATATGCCCTGCAATATCACAATATTTGAACTATTCAACAAAACATGTTATTCTTAGTCAATAAGATCTGATTTTCGTTATTTTATCATTAATTGTACTGTGTTTATTACAATGCTTCATTTCATAATTCAGGGCAATGGATAATGATAAAATATTTGGGTAATTCATATTTTTAAATGTTATAGTATCCTTGTGTCTAATGAGACATGATATTTAAGTATTAATATCTGTTGTGTAGAGAGAAATTAAAACAGCAGTGCTGTTAATACCAGATGAACTACTTCTTTGATGTCAAAAATATTACTTTGTAAATACTATGAGCTCATATATAATATGTTGTTTGTGTAATAAAGTTGTCTTTTTTGAATCTGTTGAAAGAAAAAGTGTTAATTGCATAGTTATCAAATAACGAATTTAATTTTATTCATCCTTATCTTACTGGATGCATCTCTGTGTGTTCTCTCTCTTTCACTCTCTCTCTTTTAAAAAACTTAATCCAACAGATCCATTATCTATATACCATATGCTTTTTTTACCATTATTTTGTCCTAGAAAATGATTTAAAAACATGCATCTGATATCTTTCTTTGGCTATCCTTGAAGTCAAATATGGCCTTGCTATTTAATACAAGCAATGCATCATCACCACGATTTCCCCCGTCTGGCATATTAATTGTTATGTGGTTATGTTCTTATGTCAATATCTAACTCACACGGTCCTCAATCTTAACATGCATGGGGAAACATTTTGCTTTACAAAAAGAAATCCAGCACTACACAACCAGGCATTTAAAAAAATACAGCCACAACTAACATCGCAGTCAATTTTTCATTTGTCTCCATGAGGGGGATCTAACCATCGCCATTTTATTCTCTCGGGCCACCTGCACTGCTTTAATCCATCAGTTTCCAGATCAGGGATTGTTTTGACAACGAACCGTGACAAGTCTCCCACTAAAATCTCATTCATGTCAGGGAACTTCAGACCAGCCATGCATATAAAATATCAATCATGCTTTAATTGTAACAAGACAGCTTTTTTTATTTGTCTTCAAAATTCAGTTCACATCACATTCTGTCTCTCAGTGGTGCATGAGGTGCATTTTTGAAAGGAAAATAATAGGGCTTCTCTTTAAATGTAATCATCTACATTCTACCTTGTTTAACTTTTTAGGGTGACATTGAATGGCTCAAGGGGGGGGGGGGAGGGGGGGCAGTGTGGGGTAGGAGGAGGACAGATGCAGTTTCCTTAAAAAAAATCATACATACACATACATACATACATACACACACACACACATACATACACACACACACACACACACACACACACACGTATATACATTCTATGTACATACATACATATGTACAAACATGCATACATTGTTGTAAACAGCCATGTCCCCACTTTTTTCATCTTTCAGTACAATTTAATCCAATTAACTCTATCAATGAAGTATACAGGAATAATAAAAGAAAATTCTCTCTGCTGTGCTAAATTACAAATCCCCATTGAAAGCATCCAACCCTACCCTATCCAAACACTATAAAAATCACCCTTTCTCAATAACCTTGTGCGCGTTACACGTCACAGGACTTGCGTAACTACCCACGTGCTACGATTTTTCCCATGGGCGGGCGTCAAGCAGACATTTTGTACAGGAGCAATGCAAAGATGGGTGAAAACGATACGTTGTTTTTAACCGAAGACGATGTCCCCGGGGCGAAACTGCCTACACCAAAAGTAAAGGATCATACCAACGTTGTTTTGAAAATGTGGTTAGCCTGTCAGTGGCGAGTTGGGGAGAAAAGAGCAGCACTGATAGCAAGGTACTGTGTACATGTGAAATGGCAAAGTTAATGATAATTTCATGTTGCAAAAGCATAATTAAATTAGTTAGTTATTTTCCAAACGATATTATTTGAATAGCAGATACATATAGGTCAAACTTACAATAATATAAAATTTTGCTGACACTGAAAATCAAAACCTGGGGTGCACGATAGGTTGAGGAGGACACTGCCACAGCAAGTAATGCATGAAATTTTGTTACAGAACACCCTATGCTTGTGTCGTTGTTAACTCTGCGGTATTATTGCTGCTTAAATGAATACCTGATATTACTTCTCAGGCTACCAAGTACGTATCAACTTATTTTTGTGGCAATTGACCTCCATGTCCCATCATGTGTGCAGGTTGTTTATTATTATTATTATTATTTGTTCAAGCACATTTTGATAAAGTGGCTATGCTTTAACAAGAGAAAGTCAAAATTTATGCTGAAGTTTAAAAGATTAAATCATCACTAGTATGTACAATTAAAGCTATTTGATTATGCATATTTGATTTTCAATTATTTTGATTATGATATGAGGTGTCTGCCTTTTTCTCTCGCCCTGAAATCAATATATAACAAGTAAATTGATGGTGCTTTATTCCAATTTTTGCTGTATACTTTCAGATTCAAAAACTGTGTAGCAGTTGGTAAAGCTGTAGAGATTGATGTGAGCAAAGACAAGGGGAAATAGTATTAGAGAAACTAGGAGGACAAGATAATGTAATCATCATCACAGCAAGTGTAGTTGGTGTGATCTTGTCCCTGAAGCTGTGCCACAAGTTTTCAACTGGTTGAGTCCTTACTAAAAAAGCTGCTGCGGTGTGAATCGCAATATGTACATTCAGGTTATATGTGGCAGATTTATGACAAAAGAAACCTTCACAATATACTTAAAAGGAGTTATCCTTGCGTCTATGCCTCCTCAAAAGTACACAGTTACAGTGACAAGAACATTGTCTGCAAATAGTGAGGCAGTGAAGGCTGCAAGGTGCCATTGTTTTTCAGTATTAAGAATGACAGCATCTGTTTTTTTTTTTTTTTTTTTATTCATTTTTAATGGGAGGGAGATTCACTTTGTTCTTTCTATGCCCATTCAGTTTTGGGTTGGTGGCAATATATGGTAAATCTGTCATGTCTGTATGTAGAATTTCTCTTGCTTAAATTTCTATATTTATTGAGTGCATTATGAAGTTTCCTGACTGATCAATGAGGTTACTTGTAGAAATATCTTTCTTACACACATTTTGTGATATTTTTACTACTTTATACATATGATTTTTCACATCTCAGCAGTGGTGTGTGAAAGGTACTTGGTATTTGCATTTTAGAACTGTAGATCTGTGTACCAGCAGGGTAATATTGCAGTAACATCTGTTGATGTTTCTAAAAATAAGTTTCATGTTTGATAATTAATTGGTTTGAAAAATAAATTAATAAATAATCCAAATAAAATCAATTCATTTTATATTTCATATTGTCTGTTTTTATTATTTCTTCTAACTAAGCATTTAATCATAACAGCTCCCATCATTATACTGTTATTGTGTAATAATATTGAAAGGTTCCAAGTTTTTATTAACAGGTTGATGCTAACGTATTACAAATAAATATAAGCATCACAGCATATTTCCTTACTGAAATATATCAAACACACCACTGGTATAATACCGGTAGAGATACAGGTAAAGATGACAGCATTGATAACTGGGTTTACAGCGCTGTTAGTGCAGCATGGTTAGTGTCAGATTGTTATCTGATAAAGTTTGCTACTAGGACCTGGGAACAAAAGGTCTGGCACTTGTCAATCAAGTTGATAAAATCACAAAACGCCTGTAGAAAATAGAGCATACCTGCCCAAAATTGATTTGTTCAGATTCTTGACTAAGGGGTGCGTTACTGGTGTCAAGGGCCAAGACTTGAACTTAGGGGTTTGGCATGTCACGGGACATTACTCTCGATTTCTCCCCAAATCTAATAAAGCCTCAGTTACTTAACTTTTGCCAATTTTCCAATATCTATAGGTTGTGTTGTTTAATACTTGGGGTCTCTTCTCTGGCGGCGGTTAATTGGGATACCTGTGCGGCCTGTCAATGCACCTAGACCCACTTTTGCCAGTGCCACATTTTCCATTGCCGAAAATATCAAATTTGTGAATAGAATGAGGAATAATGACAGTAATGACAAAATGTTTGGAAGTACCTGTCACCTTCGCCACAGTAACCATATGGGCTGTGCCGCCCCCCCACCACAGGCGACACCTTGCGGAGCAAGCGCGTGTAATCCGGGGTGCAACTGAAAATAACCTTGTCGGGCGACCCTATTCACATCATGCATACCTGTGTGTACTCCCTACATCTAAAGTCAACATCCAAAATGTATATATCATTACTTTTCCCTTGCAACTCTCTCTCTCTCTCTCTCTCTCTCTCTCTCTCTGATATCAAACATTTGCAGCACAAACATCAGATCTCTTTCAAGACAAGAAAGTAACTGTTTATTGTTTGGAATAAAAATCATGTTGGTCCACATAACATCCCTGAGTCATTCAAACACATAAAAATATATCACCAATAATTTTACCATAATGGTGGCCTTCAACAAACAAAAAGCAAACAAATAAATGAGTGAATGAATAATCCTACCTGTACTGGCATAGATCTGTGTTTTCTCAAAGCTCCTTTGATGTGGAATGAGGCAAAACAGGCTGCGCAGTAGTCTTCACCACACTCCAGGCAAGACTGGGGGAAAAAAAAATATTCCAAAAAATAGTTTTGTTTCTTGCATAAGAGATAATAAAAAAGTGCAGAGCTAACATCAAGAAGATGATAGTTTGATCCAGACCCTTTAATCAAGGATTGAAACATCACATTTCTACGATGAAATGTGTTTTGTACGCTTAGAAAGCACAACTTTGAAGTTGTGGTTTTTACTTGAAATTTTCAAAGAAGCAAGAAGTTTTATGAGATTATTACATCTAATTTAGTATATTTTTTATTCTTATAATTTTGTGAAAGGTTTTATTTTTGCTGAGAGAGAGAGAGAGAGAGAGACAGCCAAGCTACAAACCACATTTGCAGCCTTCTGCTCACACTGCCCACACTTCGTCCCCTTCACCATATTCCTAGGTGGCGCTGTATCTCTCTTTGCAATATAAGCCATTGTCCCAGGCTGTTTGCTTCTTTTTGGTAACTCTGAAATGGAGACATGTACAGTTGTTTATGACTGAAAAAACAGCCCTTAAACTAAACTGGGGTGTGTTGTTTTGTTTTATCTAAATATGCCAGGCTTGGCAATGATTTGAATATATCAATTTTCAAAGGCAACTTTAATGAAACTACTGTTAAAGGGATAATAACTCTTCATATGAGATCTATATTTCACAATAAAAACATTGTGAATAACTCAGAGAAATATAATATATTCTGTTTTACCACAAAAACGGCAGTTACAGCTATTATTCTGATATCTGAGCTTGTCTTTAGACCACGTGACCTCCATTGATGGCTATGCTCTGTTAAAATCTCTTAAGAGATTTTAACAAAAAACCAAACATTTTAGAAAAAAACCAGGGACTAACTTTGAATGTAAAAATGGATTCATTAACCATTGGTAAGTATGGGAAAATTGTTGTTTACTCCAGGAAAATTCATTTTTTAGCTGAAACGAAGTGTTATTATTCCNATTTCTCTTACTCAAATTTCTATATTTATTGAGTGCATTATGAAGTTTCCTGACTGATCAATGAGGTTACTTGTAGAAATATCTTTCTTACACACATTTTGTGATATTTTTACTACTTTATACATACGATTTTTCACATCTCAGCAGTGGTGTGTGAAGGTACTTGGTATTTGCATTTTAGAACTTTAGATCTGTGTACCAGCAGGGTAATATTGCAGTAACATCTGTTGATGTTTCTAAAAATAAGCTTCATGTTTGATAATTAATTGGTTTGAAAAATAAATAAATAAATAATCCAAATAAAATCAATTCATTTTATATTTCATATAGTCTGTTTTTATTTTTTCTTCTAACTAAGCATTTAATCATAACAGCTCCCATCATTACACTGTTATTGTGTAATAATATTGAAAGGTTCCAAGTTTTTATTAACAGGTTGATGCTAACATATTACAAATAAATATAAGCATCACAGCATATTTCCTTACTGAAATATATCAAACACACCACTGGTATAATACCGGTAGAGATACAGGTAAAGATGGCAGCATTGATAACTGGGTTTACAGCCCTGTTAGTGCAGCATGGTTAGTGTCAGATTGTTATCTGATAAAGTTTGCTACTAGGACCTGGGAACAAAAGGTCTGGCACTTGACAATCAAGTTGATAAAATCACAAAACGCCTGTAGAAAATAGAGCATACCTGCCCAACATCGATTTGTTCAGATTCTTGACTAAGGGGTGCGTTACTGGTGTCAAGGGCCAAGACTTGAACTTAGGGGTTTGGCATGTCACAGGACATTACTCTCGATTTCTCCCCAAATCCAATAAAGCCTCAGTTACTTAACTTTTGCCAATTTTCCAATATCTATAGCTGTTTAATACTTGGGGTCTCTTCTCTGGCGGCGGTTAATTGGGACACCTGTGAGGCTTGTCAATGCACCTAGACCCACTTTTGCCAGTGCCACATTTTCCATTGCCGAAAATATCAAATTTGTGAATAGAATGAGGAATAATGACAGCAATGACAAAATGTTTGGAAGTACCTGTCACCTTCGACACAGTAACCATATGGGCTGTGCCACCCCCCCACCCCACCACAGGCGACACCTTGCGGAGCAAGCGCGCATATTCACATCATGCATACCTGTGTGTACTCCCCACATCTAAAGCCAACATCCAAAATATATATATCATTACTTTTCCCTTGCAACTCTCTCTCTCTCTCTCTCTCTCTCTCTCTCTCTCTCTCTTTGATATCAAACATTTGCAGCATAAACATCAGATCTCTTTCAAGACAAGACAGTAACTGTTTATTGTTTGGAATAAAAATCATGTTGGTCCACATACCATCCCTGAGTCATTCAAACACATAAAAATATATCATCAATAATTTTACCATAATGGTGGCCTTCAACAAACAAAAAGCAAACAAATAAACGAATGAATGAATAATCCTACCTGTACTGGCATAGATCTGTGTTTTCTCAAAGCTCCTTTGATGTGGAACGAGGCAAAACAGGCTGCGCAGTAGTCTTCACCACACTCCAGGCAAGACTGGGGAAAAAAAAATATTCCAAAAATTAGTTTTGTTTCTTGCATAAGAGATAACAAAAAAGTCCAGATCTAAAATCAAGAAGATGATGGTTTGATCCAGACCCTTTAATCAAGGATTGAAACATCACATTTCCACGATGAAATGTGTTTTGTACGCTTAGAAAGCACAACTTTGAAGTTGTGGTTTTTACTTGGAATTTTCAAATAAGCAAGAAGTTTTATGAGATTATTACATTTAATTTAGTATATTTTTTATTCTAATAATTTTGTGAAAGGTTTTATTTTTGCTGAGAGAGAGAGAGAGAGAGAGAGAGAGAGAGAGAGAGAGAGAGAGAGAGAGAGAGATAGCCAAGCTACAAACCACATTCGCAGCCTTCTGCTCACACTGCCCACACTTCGTCCCCTTCACCATATTCCTAGGTGGCGCTGTATCTCGCTGTGCAATATAAGCCATTGTCCCAGGCTGTTTGCTTCTTTTTGGTAACTCTGAAATGGAGACATGTACAGTTGTTTATGACTGAAAAAAACAGCCCTTAAACTAAACTGGGGTGTGTTGTTTTATCTTAATACGCCAGGCTTGGTGATGATTTGAATATATATATATATATCAATTTTCAAAGGCAACTTTAATGAAACTACTGNTATGCTCTGTTAAAATCTCTTAAGAGATTTTAACAAAAAACCAAACATTTTAGAAAAAAACCAGGGACTAACTTTGAATGTAAAAATGGATTCATTAACCATTGGTAAGTATGGGAAAATTGTTGTTTACTCCAGGAAAATTCATTTTTTAGCTGAAACGAAGTGTTATTATTCCTTTAATTGTGTCAGCTGTAACAAAATGGGGTAGAGAGAAAAATACATATTAGAAAAATAATAACAAAATAACTTGAGTTCTTAATATTTCTTTTAAGTTGAAACAAGAGTGATTCTTTTTTGTTTGTTTTCTTTTTCTCTGTCTTTTCTTCAATGAAATGGGAAATCTTACATTATAGCCTGAAGTTTGATTTTTCTGCTACCAGTACTTACCTAGAGCATCATCTTTTAAAACCTTTACTTTCCTCGTTTTCTGAAATATATTTGCAAAAAACATGAGCAATAAAAACAGTCAATATTTTACATTATCTATTACAGGCTGTGTTTTAGAAAATTAGTCAAATGTGGATCTTCACTAATAAATTTAGCACATAATGAACCAATGATTAATTAGCACTTATACTTTGCATTCTTAATGAGAGAAAATAGTATTTATATATAACATTTAACATAATTTTCAAATATTTTAAATAGAGAAGGCAAATTTGTGAAACATTTGGGGCTTAAAACTGGCAATAGATTCTAGAGCATCCCCCCCAGCAATTCCTTTAACATTTTTCAGTTTTGACAGCACCATAATCTAACTTAATTTTGAGCATCCTAAGACTAAGCTAACTTTTATAGAAGGAATTGTCTTAGTCATAAACCAATACCCTGTCTTTAGCCTTGTCCTCTTTGGGTTTCTCAGGAGTTCTTTTAAGGACTATTTTGTCGTAGGTTGTGACTGCCCCATGTTGACCCTTGTCCCAGAATCCACCTCCTTGGGCTCTATGAAGATTGGACAGATTAAAAATCATTTTAGGTTTAAATAAAGCATTTCTATACAATAATATCAGAATGGGATACAATGAGAAATTCAGACGCCAAATGTTTGCTACTCATACTCTACAGTTTTCAGATAACTGCTCATAAGACTTCCTTCAGTTCTAAGATTTCATAAGACTTCATAAAATATCTCATAAGAATTCCGTCAGTTTTAAGAATTATTTTATATGTCATGAGTTTGCGTTTACAGGAGCTTTTCAAAATTAAGACAAATGATTACAATCACATTTGGAGAGAGAGAGAGAGAGAGAGAGAGAGAGAGAGAGAGAGAGAGAGAGAGAGAGAGAGAGAGAGAGAGAGAGAGAGAGAGAGAGAGAGAGAGAGAGAGAAAAGGGAGAGGGAGAAAGAGAGAGAGAGAGAAAAGGGAGAGGGAGAGAGAATGATTGTACACAATTGCAGATGATTTATAGAATGGAAGAAACTGAATGACATGCTGTAATTTATTATATATAATGATATATATAATATTGGAAAATCACATTTAAGTACTTACTCTCTCTCCTCTTTCTCTCTATTCATGGCCAACTTTAGTTCCCGGAGCCTCTCCTCCATCTTTCTGCTCTCCACCTCCAACTGTTTGGTCTGTTTCTGGACATTCTTCAGATTCCTGCAAAACACATTTTAGTTTCAAAATTTAAACTAATCCAACATAAGAATCCAAACTAACATCATTTATTCTCCTTTCATTCCAGAACCCAAAACAGAAAAGGGTTTTTCAAACATTTCTTAAAAGGTATAACTATCTTCAGTTAAAGTTGCTAAAATGTTTGATTTTATAAAGCCTACTTCAAAAGTTTACATCAACAGTAATAGCAACTTTTTCCAGTTACACCATCATATACAGTTATACAAATTATCATATCCAATAACAATATCTTGAGTGATAAAGTTGTTTCAGTACTAATATAGTAAATATAAACACCATTGTCAAAGAGCATGCAATACATCATGATTTTTAAAGACTAGACTAAGTATGATATCAATTATATACCAATAATTGTACCAATACAGATAATGATACCAATGTTATACCATTTCCCATAAAGGTACTAATGATAGTATTGATACCAATAATGATAATAATACAGATAATAGTACAAAGACCAATAATGGCACCAATTTAATAGTTATGGTACCATTTATAACAGGGGTTCCTCTTATAATAGTGGTACCAATATCAATACATAACTGCCATCATTTAAAAGTGATCTTAAAGAAACATGCAACATGCATCATGAAGGCCAAGTTTTTTTTTTTTTTTTTTTTTTTTTTGTTGGACAATCTGTGATGAAGAGTGCACCATGCATTTAAAAATACAACAAGTATTTCTATTTCAGCTTCTGGTTGTGTTTCCAGTAAACTTGGGTCTGTCTAGATCTAGCATGCAGTCTGAAAGTGGCAAACTACCTACAGGAAGCAATCCATCGGCAAAATGAAAAGTTTGAAAAAAAATGTTTGCTGCAAGAATAAGTAGTTGCCGCAAATTTGCAATCTTGAGAGCCTTAAGTTGGTGGAAAATTTGCAAGAAGTCTAAAATTTGGCTAAGGATAGCAATGACATGCAGCTTATTGTAATTTGCAAGGGGAGGTGTATTTTTTTTAATTTGTCACTTTGTTCATTTTTTTTATCTTTTTATTACTTATGTGTTTATTTCTCATTTTTATTATTTTTTGTGAATGTTGTTAAAATTAGCAATTCCTCTCTCTCTCTGTCTCTCTCTCTCTCTCTCTCTCACACACACACACACACACACACACACACACACACACACACACACACACACACACACACACAATCTGCAACTACACCTAAATACAGCAAGTGTATGACCTTTTTGTTTCACATATAACAACACCATAAAAGGAAAAAAGGGCATGCAAACGTTAACCACCATATGAGAAGAAAAGTTTGCAGGTGGTGCTCTTAGGGGAAATATATTGTGCATATAATACTGATGTGCAGTGCTTCAGTAAAAATATAGAAATACATATCAGTTATATTAAAACATCTACTTACAAAACAAACTTCCTATTGTAAATATAACCATGAATAAAACTTACAATACATTAATACACTAAAATATCTTTTCTCTTCCACAATCATGATGACTTTTTTTTTACCATGAACACAGGTAGAAAGGGGGGGGGGGCTGGAATAAAACTCATAAATTTTCATTTCTTATTATAAATCTGAGTGTACTAGTAATCAGTTGATTTTAAAAAAATCACTTACTGAGCTTTCAACTTCATAGAGACATCTTCCTTTCTACCTGTTATGTTGAAGCCCGACATTCTGAAAATTAAGAAAAAAAATTAATCTTCTGTACATAACTGACAAAGAGATATCTTACCTTGCAACTTTTTCAGGACATTGTGTTATCCATCTTCAAAAACTGTTGAGACAGCCTTGCAGACAGACTGATCCCTTGTAGCCTGAGGGGGGGGAGGGGGGGGGGTCCATAGTATACACTTTACAATTATGTCATAGAACAGAATCCTCTACATACACTAAATTATGCAAAAAGGAACAGCCAGGATCAATGATAATTTCAACTTTTTTTTCTTTTATTACAGAAATGTGGCCTTTAGTTACAACCCTTTACATCCTCACATCACTACTTCCCCACAATATTACTCAGATAATTTAATTTGTGAGTAACCTGCATAAAAAACTCAATGCACTGAAAAGCTGACAATATACATCATTGTGTCATGTGTCAACTGGACTACCAATTATACCACCCTTAAAACATAAACCTGTTGAAGATCATCATTAATGGACTTCTGAATGTTGAAGTAGGTTAAGCAATCAGATTTTTAACCTGTTACTTGTTCAAGAAATTTGCCTCCAGGTAACAACAAACCCTGACATACTTTTTGCATTCAGTAGTCTGTTTCATGGCAGCATAACTAGATGTTGAACTGACCTTGCCTTCTGTATTATTCAAACTGCTGCCAATGGCAAGACTGGTTGAATTTTCAGCAATGTGCGACATGAGAAGGTGAGAGGTAAACAAAAGATTTGAAAGCCCCAGCATTAGAGGGGATGTGTACAATAGCCCTCATTTTACAATTATGAATTATTTACAACTGCTAGTACAAGTAACACCATGTACTAGCACAATGATCTTACATGTACATGTCAGAATGTGTAAATAGGAGTATTTAAGAATGATACGGTCTAGTTGAATATAGTTACTTACAACTGGATGCCAGTCCTGAAGTAGAATTATGTAAACTATGATGGGAAAAATATAACTAGCCATGCCCACTGACTCTGTTTCAGTTTTTTTTTTTTTTTTTTTTTTTTTAATTAAAATTATGAGTCGTGTGTCGGTGTTTGTCAAAATGTTACAATAACATTGACATTAATAGCGTTTATCGATAGTCACCAGATCTATATGCATAGCAGCCTACACTAAAATTAGCCTTATTTCACAAATACGCTTTAATTACGTTTTTAAGTGTAATTATCTCTTTTTCTAACCTGCAAAGTGCTCGGTTTCCATCCAAAACAAAAATGTAATATGGCGGTCCTCACTTCTCGCGTGGTTTTGCGCGAATCTTTTCAAGATAAGCTACATAAGTAGTGGCATAACTATGCTAAAAAGTTATTTTGCATTATTTATTTCCTTGTATATTTACTTAACACCATGACTTATATTGTAAATGAGCATTTTTATTTCTTGCCTGTTACATGACACACGATAAAGATGTGGTTCAGCTGCATTTTGGTTGTTTGGTCTTTTGAGTTAAGAGACCCGAAATGAACCTAAATGAAACAAATGTTCTCGCTTCGTCCTGAACATTCCATCACATTCTGGAAATCACTTAGCTAAACCGCAAAAGATCGTAGAAGTGTCATTGTCAGATTGACAGCAGTTCTGGACGTAGAAAGGTATGTTTTTTGAATGGGATATCTACACCTACAACTTTTCTGTGGCTCGTTTACATTGCTTTTAAATTTAAAAAAAATCTTGTGCAGACGATGAGTGATGACGTATTGACGATGCCAGTTTCAATTTTGCATGGCTAGTTTTAAGAATCGTGTTTTAGTCGAATAATTTATTTTTAATGACGACTTCAAGTATACACAACGTGTTTCTTTTTATTGATTACAACAGGGAAATGGTGCTTGATTGTAATGTTTACCAAAGCTTTCATTATGAAAATAAAGACCAGTCAGAAAAACTTGTTTCATTTTCATACTTGGACGTAAGTACCCCGACTTTCAGTTTGTGTGTCAGTTTGTTTTGGATTTATTTTGCCTAGCTATATCATATTCCAAAGTGGTCACAGAATAACAGCTGCAACATTCATTATTTTTCCACTTAATTTTGCTTGTGTTTCCAGCTTTCGGTCCACCAAAGTTACCAATGGAGGGGATGCCACCCAAGTACAGGGTTATAGTGCTCAAAGATGGATACTCTTATCAAGATAACACCACAGGTAATTTCAACAATATTGTGTCATTTTACACTGCGCCTTAACAGACTAAAACTGTTCAAGAAAGTATGACAAACGGCTCTTGTTTGATTTTCAATTGCATTTTTTTTACTCTCACTGTTTTTATTATTATTATTATTATTATTATTATTATTATTATTATTATTATTAATTAATTTATTTATAATTAATGTAATGGTGGTTTCGTCTTTAGCTATTGTAAAATTATTTAAATACAAACTATTACCTTCATTTCATGTTCTTAATGTTTATGCATTTATTCTCTTTTTTATAACACACACGTAAAACTACAACCTATTTGCAGTTTTCTAAATTAATAAATAGCAACAACATATATATATATATATATATATATATATATATATATATATATATATATATATATATATATATATTAATTCATTCCTCAGGCCTATACAAGGCAGATTGTTCCATCACTCTAGTAAAAGGTCCACATAATGTGATAGTAGACCCTGGTAATGCCTGGGACAAGGAATTCGTACTGAATGGTTTGTATGGAATATTAATTAACCCCTCTTTCCCTCTTCAAATCTACTGTTTGAATAATATCTCCCTGGCTAATTTCAGGCTTATTTATAACTTCCATGCAGCAAGCAATATCTCTGTAAAACATTAGGGGTCATTTTCTTCTTCTTGCAACAATTTACAGGGCAAGCTGAAATGGGGGGAAATTTGTTACAGTATACTTGACAATTACTTTATTTATTTTGTATCGAATAACATTTAATGTCTTTAATTTCATTTTTGAAAATTTTGAAGGCCAACTGTAATAGGAAATATATTTTAGTGTTAAAGAAGTCACTTAAATATGCTATGCATTTATTTTATCAATATTTAATTATTTTTTTGGAATGTATTTCTTTTAATTAATTCGTAACATTTATTTATCTATTTTTATCCACAGCCTTACAGCAACATTGTTTGACCCCCTCAGACATAAACTACCTTGTTGCAACCCATGGACATGGTGACCACGTTGGCAACCTGAATCTGTTCACTAAAGCCACTCATATTATAGGAACTGAGATCAACAAAGAAGATGCTTACACATTTCATCACTTTAAGAGGGTATTGTCATTGCTTAATAATTGCATCAAAATTTGTTAAATTTGTTTGGAGGTTGAGTATATTTCACTATAGTGTGGTAAGAATGAGGAATTTAGAATTGAAAATGCTCTCAGGATTCTAATTCTGTCAAGGGTTTTGCTAAGTATGTATCTTGTCTGAACATCTATGGCTTTTGTAAGAACATTTTTTAACTGTTCAATACAATTTTTGATTGCCTAAACAATGTGACCTTATACTATTTTTTTTTCAGTTTTTACATTTTGAAATAAGAGAGAAAAAAATTACCATTGTTATTATTTTAAATTTCATTATTCCAGGGAATTCCATATGAAATAGATGACAATCATCTGGAAGTTATTTCAACACCAGGCCATACTGGTATAGATGTCAGCTTGGTGGTCAGAGGAACTGACCAGGGGACGGTGGTCATTGCAGGTATGTGGCCATTGGTCAGGGGAACTGCTTACTGCAAAGGAATGAAACACTAAAATGGATCACATTTTTCCATCTCAGCCTGTAGTAGCATTTTGCTGACGCAAAAAAAAAATAATATAATTTTTTGTATTATTTTTTTTTACTATAGGTGATCTGTTTGAGAGGGCAGAAGATTTAGACAATCCCGTTTTATGGCAGGAAGGCAGTGAAAACCCCAGGCTTCAGGAACAGAGTCGCATCGACGTGTTAGAAATAGCTGACTACATTGTCCCGGGTCATGGACCCATGTTCAAAGTGCCAGAAGATTATAAACACGGTATCCAGGTTGTCATGAATCCTCAGTCAGATGATGATGCAGCATAAATATGTACAGTTTGAGACATTTGGACATCTTCATTTAGTGAAATATTAATTTTCCTGAAAATTGCAATAGCAATTTTTACCATATCCAACATTTAATTAATAGAATCTACATGTAACCTACATTAAAGGTAAAATTGTTGAAATTTCCAGGAAAATTATATTTTTTTCTATACAGTAGTTTGATATGCATTGTCTTTAAGTTGGGCTTAGCTTAGACTGCTAAATTCACAAAGTAGACTTATGCTAATTAGTCCATATGTATTGTAGAAGTTTGCTTGCAATTCTGTTAACAAGGTATTGGTATCCTGTGGGTGAAAGATTTGTGTAATTTTTTTTTTTTTTTCTATTGGTCAAAACCATATACCAGTATGTCAAAATGATTGTGACAAAATTTGGCTTCAATAGCTTTTTTCATTCCAATTCCTCCATGTGGTTCATTGTTATTATTATTATTATTATTATTATTATTATTATTATTATTATTATTTTGTTTTGCATTGATCAAAACCATATACCAGTATTGTGAAATGATTGCGTCAAGATTTTGGTTGACTTCCTAAGCTTTTTTCATTCCAATACCGCCATGAGGTGTTCCATATTCTGTGAACTTTGTATGCGATGATGTATAAAAACCAAATTGTATTCCTGATAGGGCAGCTGTCTTGTGATAGTGACAATCAACTTTACTATCAAATAATCAATGGTAGATCCAAGCAGGGGATGGCACTGCAGGCTCTTGCCAGTCCTTTATCTTTTTTCTCTCTGACCCCTCACCACAAAACAGTACATTTACTGAGGGGACAAAACCAAGCACATTTTATATCTGTCACTTACATATGTATTATGGTTAAATGGCCATTGACTGCTGCTTGATATTTGCTGAGAGAATCAAGGCAATCAACGTAAATTAGAATTTACAATTTATCCTTGCCCCCGACAAAGCTTTGGATCTTCCATTGATTAAAGAGAGTTATACTAGCATGTTAAAAAACAGATTCTTCAAACGATTTTTTTTAAATACCAAATTGCATTGTGTCTCAGGACTCTACACACCTCAGGACGCTATGAGGCCAGGATATTTGTGTATAGTTTCAAGTGAGACAATCTTCATACATGTACAATTTTCATTTAGAACTAGAAGAAAAAAATATTTTTTGTTCCATAGGATTTGTTTAAAATATGATTTAGATAGAAAACACTTTACGTATACAGTGTACTGTACCCTAGTATGTACTAGAATGTACATGATTAGAATGATTTAATTACCATAAGCAGGGGCAGATCCACAGATATTTTCTGACAGTCTTCTATATTATCTTTGTTGATCCATCTTCAATTTTTGACGCGCACACACACCCACACACATCAATGTAAACTTGAAAATCTGACCGCCTTCAGGAAGACTCTGAAGACAACCTCAATCTGCCACACTATCTCAATGTAGTCAAAATACATGTATGTGCCTGTGATTTGCCTTTCTTTTATGATTTTTTCTTTACCACACAGAAATATGCATTATTGTATTTCCCTTATAGTAATGATCGAGGTGTAAATATTTAAGAAATGATTTGATTTTTTTTGCACTAAACATCAAATTATGTAATAGTGTAAGAGGTATTTAATTTGCACGATTTAAGATAACATTTAAAGTATTTGCATGGTATGGCCTGGATGAAATTTTTTCTTGTCCCTTAAGTAACTATATATGTATGTAATAATACTTTGGTATATGCCAGTTTTGGTTTATGGTGAGAAATTGTCTATTTTACAGTGGCTGTTTTATTCTCATTTTATTTTTATAATTAGTTAATCTCATTTAAATTTACAGATCAGGACAGCTGTATCAATTTGTTTCGTTTTCATCATCCTAGCTGTGATGTTTTGCATAGCAATTCAATGTGTTATCCACGTCTTTAAAAATTGACATTCTGCTAACTGTTACTGCAGCAACTGCTGTTGCCAAGAGGCATTGTTTTTTGTAATATGCATGTTTAGAGAGAGTCAGGTAATCTGATTTTATCCTGAAATCTGGATATATTTCATCTGATATTTGGGTGCATTTTTGCCCCCCTTATGCAATTTTTTCTCCTTTTTTTTCTTTTTTTAAGGTCCTATTTGACCTGATAAGTTTGTTAATTATGTGAACCCATTAAGGATAGTGCCAGTATGTGGATGGAATAAAGTTGTATTTAGTTTCAGTCGTTGTTTAGACCGGAATGAAGTGAGTTGTTAATTTTCTTCGCACTCGGGGTTGTTATCGACTAGTCTCAGCAACCGACCTGTAAATTTTTCATTGTACAAACAAAGCAGAAAACGATGCATAAAATGGGTTATTTTTTCAATTATGATGCAATAATACATTATTAACACCAAAATCAACACCAGAATTTAATTATGCACAACAGCTAACATGGATATTAGGAATATGTAACTAGCAGGAGGCTGCAGGCCCAAGATTTCAAATTTACACATAGGACATGCCAGAACACCCCCTCTCAAAAAAACTTTATCAATATCACACAATTTTCCTGCTAAAAATCTCTCTTGCATCACTTTTTCATGGTCACATTTTTTTTATTTTATTTTTATTTATTTTGAATATATGTATTTTCAAGTGGAGTAGCTCCTGTGGTTTTATCAATAATTTGATCAACCAATTAAATATATTGCTTTTTCTCCTGAAAATCTTTCAAAATCTATTTGTATAAAATGTCTTATACACCCACTTTACGGTTTGAACCAGGACAATCCATGTAAAAATGGTCTCAATAACTTGTAAAAAAAAATTAAGATACATTTATTATATGGGAATAAATCTGCTCATTTTTTTTTTTTTTTTTTACCAATTAGTGATATTGCCTTTTCTCATGAAAATGTTCTTTCAGATTGGATTTACATATATTTCTTATCAACCCACTAAACAATTCAAACCTGGGTAATTCACGTTTAAATGCTCAATTATAAAGAAATCTAAAATGATTTTTATATGCAAATAGATCTGCTTTATTTTTTCTTGCAGCGATTTCCACAAATTTGCAGGTATTTTTGTTGACAGCTATGATTATTTCCACAGACCGATTGCCTAACAGTAATTGTGTACATACATACAGAAATTATACATACATAACATATAATTAAAGAAAAAAAATAAAATAAAAGATGACAAAAATACAGAACTGTCCCGGCCTCATTGTGGTCAATCATCTACAGACGAATTAATATCCATACAGGCCATTTGCTGACCTATATCTTTTTCCCCTATTAATCCAGTTCTTTTTACTCTTGGGCTAGCCGGTCACCGTAAATAAGAGAATACTTTTTCCTGGATAACTTACTGCCAGTTCTCTTATTAAATTATGTACATGTGATAATATTTTACAACAAATGCATACAAAATTTGATAAAATGATTTTATCAGCACACCGCAGGTTCACTGGCACTACAAAGTATAATAATTACTTTTTGGACAAAAAAAAAAAAAAAATGAACCAACAAAGTGTATTATTTCATAACATACTAAGACCGCATAACAATAAACCTTACTAAAAGATTAAGAAAGCAATATCATGTGGTATGAGTAACAACTTAGGTGGACATATTATATAATATCAATACCATTTTGTTCGTTAAAATGAGAAGTCCTATTCAAAAAAATATTAATTACACAACTGCTAAGCGCAGATAACTATCACATATATGCAGTACATGCCTGCATGTGCATTTATACATACAAAATAAACTGAGCCATGATAATTACTTATGATCACCATATGTACAGACACAACAACATTCAGCATAGTATATTTATATTCACACACGTACATCACGTAAAAACTAACTCCCATGTTTTTAATTATTTTATATAAATCAGAATTATCCTCATATATCCGTATATTCTTAGGAACAAGTGTGAGCTATTTCATATGTTAATCTATTTTAGGTGTCACCATAGTGTGTTTTATTATAATTAAAATCTATTTCTTGTCACTGCAGACACAGGTGCTATGAGCCTCACTCCACTTTTCCCTCTGAAATTGTATTTTTATATTCAAATTTGCCAACCATTGGAGGCAGAAATACATTTTAAAACAATAATAATAATAATAATAATAATAATAATAAAATACACAAATAAAGTAAATAAATACAAATATAAATAAACAAGTGGGTTCCCTCCCCTCTACTCAAAAATGCCAGTGTTGATAGCTATCCAAGTAACATCCATTTTTGTCATTATTATCAATATGTGAATAAGACCCCATTCCCATAGATTTTAGATCGATCTATCCCTGTGGGGAGTCTCACTAGATTACTGTCAGCTTAGCCGGCTTAAGCGTCTGTCCTGCCTACTAAAAGCTGTAAGGGGGTAATTAACTATGGTGCGCGCTCGGCTGACTGCAATTTAGCGTTAACCCCCAGGGAGTTAGGTCGATCTAAATCTAAATCTCTGGATCGATCTAAATCTCTGGGAATGCACCCTAACACTGCAGCCACTACATATGTATAACATACATAAAGCACAATACGAAGCCCTTGTTTCTTTCACAAAAACCATCAGAATTTAACAGCCCTGATGACTAAAGCATAACCTGTCTGTCAAATCCTTCAAAAGTGATGAAATTTTGCTGTACATCTCCATGTGCAAAAACATGTTTGAATGATTAAGGAAATGCATCACAAAGTATTTGACATCCTCCAATGCCAGAGTTTTACATGTATTATCCACTTGGCTTGTACAGTCTGTGCCATTTTTACCCAGGTTCTGCAGTACACTGCATTTACAACACCAAATTCTAGTGAGTTCAGTAGGACAGTGTAATAGATGCAACAGTGTGAAAGTGTGTTAGGTGTGAGAGTATGTCAAATCTGACATTGTGTTTGGTGTGATAGTGTGTTAGGTGTGACATTATGCCAGATGTGACATTGCGTTAGGTGTGACGAGGTTTCACACGTCATCTCCTCCAATTCCTGGAATCAAAATTCTCGTGGGCTGCATTCTGTGATCCCTGCGATCCACACCAAGGCCAAGGTCACCGTCATCAATCATGCTCTGTAAATGGAACAGAAATTAAGTTCAAAATATGTGTATTATTATTTATGAAAATTGCATTTATTTTGTACAACGTTTTGATCGCTGGTTTGGTGACTTGTGTAATGATGACTTTCTATACTTCACTATAATTATCATATTTTTTTTCACAAAAATTGTACTTTTTAAATTTCCATTTTTTTTTGTATATTTATCCCTAAAATAAATTATGAATAATGAAAAAAAAAACTATCAGTGTCTTCTCTTTTAATCCAAATGCTTTAATAAGACATTTCTTTTCCAAAACTTCAACCACAACTTCCCTTCAACCACTTTGAAAACATATCCCAAATAGAGACCACCCCTTCAAACTACCCCAAACGCAGTTTTACTTCCCCCTACAGGAAACCATTTCAATCAAGTTGTATACAATATGTCTGTAAATACAGCTAAAGGCAGCTAACTTCCTCCTCCCCTATAGCCTCATAAAGTAATCCCTTGTAATTGAAAAAGAAATTGAATTTGATGTGTAGAGGTGCGAGAGATAGAAAGAGAAAGAGAGAGAGATATGCTGATATTGTATAAGATATTTTTCTTAAGTGTATGTAGACTTGTGTGTAAATATGTGGCTACTTGATGCATGTGTATAAACAATGACTGCAAAAAATTTGAAAATATTTGTCTTAATGATCTCAATTATGAAAAGCAATTTGAAATACAACAATGGTATGATAGGGTTTGTGCTGGTCCAGGACAAAGATTGTGAAAAGAGTAGTTGGGTGGGAAAAAAAAGGGGGGTGGGAGTGGATTATGTAACTGAAAAAATGAAAAAATATATGGGCAGGTTTACGCAAATAAAAGTTTAAGTCCCAAGACAAGCCCATCCCAATGTAAATGCTTCCACCTGGTGATCAGGTAAACATTATCACATTCAGTAATCACCCTACAATATACTTCAAGGAGGACAAGTATTCAATAAAAACAATACAGGTAATATAAATATATATTGATACAACATAAATAATGGGATACAGTACAGAATTTCACTTTCAACCACGCCACTGGTAGAATTAAATGGTTTTCTTGCTAGGATTTTGTTGCACAGAAAGACACTCAGAGGCAGTATGTAATGGGTGAATAAAAAAAGGAAAAGCAACTCAAATCTGAAATTTCAATTCTTCAAATAACATTTTTTAAACTACTCTGTCAAATCTGTTTATGGAATACAAGTTTTGTAACATTCTATTATGACAGAACTCAGATGGAGCATAAATAGTTATACAAAAATTTGTGTAACTGTTGTGGATAATATTTTTATGAGAAATTAAAATCTAAGTTGGCTGTTTTTCCTTTTTTTTTTCACTCCACACCTTTTGTTTCTCCGTCTCTATAGTTATATTTGTCTTTCTGTCTGTCTGTTCATATGTCTGTCTGTCTGTCTGTCAGCCTCTCTATTCCCTTTACTTTCATATAACAAATGTGAGACAATATCAACCCCACACCAAGACAACACCTGGGTAAAAATTAAACTACTACATCCAATAAAAAGCCTCTATTATATACGTCTACCTCAGCTATTGGCTGTTAATGCAGGTTTTGCATTCATTCCATCTAGCAATAAGAATATCAGTGGTGGTTATAATGAAGTCATACAAAAAAAAAAAAAAAAAAAAAAAAAAAAAAAAAGAAATAAGAAACAAAACAAACAAAAAAAAACTAACAGTTATAAGCTTGGAGTGATTTTAGTAAGCAAATTAAAATTGCACTCTGAATTTCAGAAGAGCTTTGCCATATATTGTTTTCAGATAATAGTGAGAATATGGCAAAGCTGGATCAAAAAGACAGGCAGTACACAGGTGAAGCAAAAGACTCAAGTTTTTTTTTTTTTTTCTCGCATGTGTTTCACAAATATGGCACTGAAATTCAGAGCAGGCAATTTTCAGGCAACTACGTTGATATACATGTATAATAAAATAAACCAAAATAATAATAATAATAATAAATAAATAAATAAATAAATAAAAAACAACAAAATGCAATGTCATCACAGCAACTCATCAAAAAGCTACCTCAAAGATTAAGTAATAGTGTTAACTCCAGGCTGGATGTCATCTAGATTTAACTGGAACAAGAACAAAATGACAAATAAAGCTGAAACTGAAATGTAATCAGTGCACTAATAATAAGAATATGTTGTAACAATATCCCTTCGTATCCAGGTTTCTGTTACAGAGATTATAGAAATCTTCAAACACTTCATTCATTTGTTTATCATTTTCGTTTTGTCATCTTTTTTTAAAACAATTGCTGCTCAGGGATTGACTGGACCAGGTATAATATTTAATATTAAGATGTGGTGTTACAGTAGTTACAAATTTCCTTGGATTTCTACCAGTTTTTATGTGCAAATTTTCAAATAGTTTTACTTTCACAGAGCTATCAGTATACATATCTTTAAAGATCTCAATGTATCCATGCTTGGTCTTTTAGGTTTCTATATACGAGACTGGGTCTCTACTGAATCAAAAGCTTTCTTGTAGTCAACAAAGGCAACACATAGTGGAATGCTGTATTCATAACATTTCTCCATTTCTCAAACAGTTGGCAGTTAACAGAACAGTGTGTTACATATTTTATGTAGAAAAAGAAAAAAATCACTTTTCAAAACTTTTCCTTCCATCACAAAGGTTTTCCATACTAAAAGTCAGTGAAAAAATTGCAAGCTATACTCTAAACCAGCTTTATGTTCTAAAAATCTGGTTTCTGCCTCACTCTCAAAATGGAGCTGGAGATCAGCAATTTTGTCCTATGTTAATAAATTAACCACATTTGCTTTTATATAATTTATAGTCAGAAGCTTCAAGAACACAAGTATACAATAACTTCATTTTATAAAAATTTATTGTTGACAAATACACCATTAATTCTGTGGTGGCTCTGTCCATTAATCTAATGGATATCTACACCATTTACTATGTATACACATATATACATATTGTAAGTAATGTCAGAGCTTCATTCCTGACTTCAAAACACACACGTATATATTATCCATATAAACCTTATCTATGCTAATGATTCAATCTTTTCAATGGGAAAAAATCATCAATCTTTCAGATACATAATTTAGAAATCATAAAAATCAAACTTCTATGGCGTATTTGTGGTGTTTTTACTACATATAATTAAACAATATGTTAGCCTGCTTTTCAATTTTGTAGCCACCAATCAATAAGTATGTTTTAATTTTAAGACATATTGTACTTAAAAAAAACACATTTTTGTAAAAATCACAATTTTCCACATTGAAAAGATAAGAGGGATTACGGTATTTTCTTGAGTGAAGGTAATAATACTAATTACAAGAGCTCACATTGATGATTCAGTCATGTAATTAATACCCTTTAATAAATGGTGAAAATGTCAGGCTCCAATGCAGCTAAAACACACCAGTCTTTATTTTTTAACATCCATGTCTACCCAGATGTTTTTTTTTTTAACTTGGTGATTGCTGAGTTTCTCCAGAGCATTTCCTTTTTTCCACATATAAATATTAAAAATAATTTTCATGAACAATCTTGGATACAAAATGTCCAGGGAGAATGGGTGTAGCTTATATAGTTCAACTAGGATAACCAACTACATAAAGTTCACTTTGTAATACTGGCTGAGGAGCTTTCAATTGAAAGATTGGAATCTGATAAATGTGGCTGAAAAAATAAATTGACATGAACAACTTGCTTTAAGAGTTTTTTTCCGTATTTTTCAGTATAATTCTCTCTGAATGGCTTTTGTAGTAAACACTGTGTCTATTTGTTTGATGATGATAAATGCAGTAAATCTTTGAGGTTTTACCTATTGTCAATTGCATTTGCACACTAACAAAAACTTCATACTGTCATCATCCCTGTGTTTATCATCAATACCATTATACTGAATGCAACTTAATTTGCACTGTGTGTGTGCGTGTGTGTGTGTGTGTGTGTGTGCGCATGTGTACATGTGCCCACACTTGGATACTGAAAACAGCAGCAACTGTTTTAGATGAAGTATTATGCCACTTTTAAACTGTTAGGTGAGACACAACATCACAACCAACACAACCAGGACTATTCAATGTGTTAAGTGAGACAGCATCACAACCAACACAACCAGGACCACTGAGTGTATTAAGTGAGGCACAAGGCCCATCCAATACAACCTGGACCATTTAATGTGTTAGGTGAGATAGCATCACAATCAACACAACAAAGACCAAACAGTGTCAGTTTTTTTTTTCTTCTGGAAGTTGCTACACTTCTAGCATCTGGACATCATCTGAGCTGGCAGTAGAGGGTGTGGTTGTTGTAGCTGAGAGGTCCCCTTCCCCAACCTCAAAACAGAAACAAAACAGGACACAAATCAACACACAATCAAGACAAAAACAGGGCAAGAAAGATAAAAGGAGGAACATCAACAATTAAGATCAATTTCTCATAATCTGAATCAGTGCAAGATGAATTATCAGTCAACAAGTAAACATATTCTGTCCTTCATCTTTTTTGTTTTCAAAGGAAAAAAAATTAATTATTATTATGTACCAGTGCAGCATGAAAACTCCACTTACACTGCTCAAACATTACCAATAATTAGAACTTTATCAGTCAGAGGTCATCTCAAGGCCAGGAAATGTTAAACCAAGTAATCATCTTGTATTTTTATATAACTGATAGATATACTAGATCATGGGACAGAAAAAAGTAACTGTATCATGCGTGATGAACTCATATCATTCAGTGAAGAATTCCATCACTGATGTTACATATGAAGAATTATAATATTATAATTCTTTTTAATAGAGTCTTTTCCACGGTCACGTGACTTCCNCTTGCTATCTGGGCAGTTGCATTTTTTTTACTCTCACTGTTTTTATTATTATTTTTATTAATTAATTTATTTATAATTAATGTAACGGTGGTTTCGTCTTTAGCTATTGTAAAATTATTTAAATACAAACTATTACCTTCATTTGATGTTCTTAATGTTTATGCATTTATTCTCTTTTTTATAACACACACGTAAAACTACAACCTATTTGCAGTTTTCTAAATTAATAAATAGCAACAACATTATTATAATTATAAATATATATATTTTAATTCATTCCTCAGGCCTATACAAGGCAGATTGTTCCATCACTCTAGTAAAAGGTCCACATAATGTGATAGTAGACCCTGGTAATGCCTGGGACAAGGAATTCGTACTGAATGGTTTGTATGGAATATTAATTAACCCCTCTTTCCCTCTTCAAATCTACTGTTTGAATAATATCTCCCTGGCTAATTTCAGGCTTATTTATAACTTCCATGCAGCAAGCAATATCTCTGTAAAACATTAGGGGTCATTTTCTTCTTCTTGCAACAATTTACAGGGCAAGCTGAAATGGGGGGAAATTTGTTACAGTATACTTGACAATTACTTTATTTATTTTGTATCGAATAACATTTAATGTCTTTAATTTCATTTTTGAAAATTTTGAAGGCCAACTGTAATAGGAGATATATTTTAGTGTTAAAGAAGTCACTTAAATGTGTTATGCATTTATTTTATCAATATTTAATTATTTTTTTGGAATGTATTTCTATTAATTAATTCGTAACATTTATTTATCTATTTTTATCCACAGCCTTACAGCAACATTGTTTGACCCCCTCAGACATAGACTACCTTGTTGCAACCCATGGACATGGTGACCACGTCGGCAACCTGAATCTGTTCACTAAAGCCACTCATATTATAGGAACTGAGATCAACAAAGAAGATGCTTACACATTTCATCACTTTAAGAGGGTATTGTCATTGCTTAATAATTGCATCAAAATTTGTTAAATTTGTTTGGAGGTTGAGTATATTTCACTACAGTGTGGTAAAAATGAGGAATTTAGAATTGAAAATGCTCTCAAGATTCTAATTCTGTCAATGGTTTTGCTAAGTATATATCTTGTCTGAACATCTATGGCTTTTGTAAGAACATTTTTTAACTGTTCAATACAATTTTTGATGGCCTAAACAATGTGACCTTATACTATTTTTTTTCAGTTTTTACATTTTGAAATAAGAGAGAAAAAAATTACCATTATTATTATTTTAAATTTCATTATTCCAGGGAATTCCATATGAAATAGATGACAATCATCTGGAAGTTATTTCTACACCAGGCCATACTGGTATAGATGTCAGCGTGGTGGTCAGAGGAACTGACCAGGGGACGGTGGTCATTGCAGGTATGTGGCCATTGGTCAGGGGAACTGCTTACTGCAAAGGAATGAAACACTAAAATGGATCACATTTTTCCATCTCAGCCTGTAGAAGCATTTTGCTGACGCAAAAAAATAAATAATATAATTTGTTGTATTATTTTTTTTTTACTATAGGTGATCTGTTTGAGAGGGCAGAAGATTTAGACAATCCCGTTTTATGGCAGGAAGGCAGTGAAAACCCCAGGCTTCAGGAGCAGAGTCGCATCGACGTGTTAGAAATAGCTGACTACATTGTCCCGGGTCATGGACCCATGTTCAAAGTGCCAGAAGATTATAAACATGGTATCCAGGTTGTCATGAATCCTCAGTCAGATGATGATGCAGCATAAATATGTACAGTTTGAGACATTTGGACTTCGGCCTGAGGATTGTGGTTTTAAAGCTGTAAAATGAGTCTTAGATCTTCATTTAGTGTAATATAAATTTTCCTGAAAATTGCAATACTTTTCCGTTAATTGCCAATTTATACTATATACGACACCATTTAATATATATGTAGAATCTACACGTAACCTGACATTTAAAGTAAAATTGCTGAAATTTCCAGGAAAATTGTATATTTTTTTTCTACTCAATAGTCTAATATGCATTGTATGTCTTTAAGTTAGGCTTTGGTTAGACTGCTAAACTCACAAAGTAGACTAGACTTATGTTTATTAGTCAACATGTACTTTAGGAGGTTGCTTGCAATTTGGTCGTCAAGGTATTGGTCTCCTGTTATTTTTTTTTCATTTGTATTGGTCAAGCCCATGTACCAGTATGTTGAAATGGTTGTGACAAAATTTGACTTCAAAAGCTTTTTTCATTCCGATTCCACCATAAGGTTTATCATGATTATTATTATTATGATAATTATTATTATTATATTCTGTTTTGATCAAAACCATTTGCCAGTATTTTGAATCGATTGTGTCAAAATTTTTGTTGACTTCCAAAGCTTTTTTTTATTTCAGTTCCACCGTATGTTTTATTCTTATTCTTATTATTTTGCTTTGTATTAATCAAAACCAAAAACCAGTATTGTGAAATGATTACTGTACGTCAAAATTGGTGTTAATTGACTTCAAAAGCTTTTTTTCATTCAAATTCCGCCATATGGTGTTCCATGTACTGTGAAGTTTGTATGTGATGATGTATAAAAACCAAATTGTACTCCTGATAGGGCAGCTGTCTTGTGATAGTGACAATCAACTTTACTATCAAATAATCAATGGTAGATCCAAGCAGGGGATGGCACTGCAGGCTCTTGCCAGTCCTTTATCTTTTTTCTCTCTGACCCCTCACCACAAAACAGTACATTTACTGAGGGGACAAAACCAAGCATATTTTATATCTGTCACTTACATATGTATTATGGTTAAATGGCCATTGACTGCTGCTTGATATTTGCTGAGAGAATCAAGGCAATCAACGTAAATTAGAATTTACAATTTATCCTTGCCCCCGACAAAGCTTTGGATCTTCCATTGATTAAAGAGAGAGATACTCGCATGTTAAAAAACAGATTCTTCAAACGATTTTTTTTAAATACCAAATTGCATTGTGTCTCAGGACTCTACACACCTCAGGACGCTATGAGGCCAGGATATTTGCGTATAGTTTCAAGTGAGACAATCTTCATACATGTACAATTTTCATTTAGAACTAGAAGAAAAAAATATTTTTTGTTCCATAGGATTTGTTTAAAATATGATTTAGACAGAAAACACTTTACGTATACAGTGTACTGTACCCTAGCTAGTATGTACTAGAATGTACATGATTAGAATGATTTAATTACCATAAGCAGGGGCAGATCCAGAGATATTTTCTGACAGTCTTCTATATTATCTTTGTTGATCCATCTTCAATTTTTGACGCGCACACACACACACACATCAATGAAAACTTGAAAATCTGACCGTCTTCAGGAAGACCCTGAAGACAACCTAAATCTGCCACACTATCTCAATGTAGTCAAAATACATGTATGTGCCTGTGATTTGCCTTTTAGAGAATAATGAGCATACTGTAGTTTTCATTAAAAGGTAATTGCTTACCAAGAGTACTTAGTCAGATGTTAGATGTAGCCAAAGGCTATGTTGCATCAGTACTTACCTGGAGAACATGTCATTCTCTATATGCACACTGTGTAGGCCTATATAGTGAATCATTCAGAGACTGGACTTCACCCTGATAGGAGGTGTGCAGGACTTTTTATACCTGAGGTGACTTACATTTATTTACATATATCAGTATTTCATAATCTAGTTCTTTATTGAGTATTTCATATTTTTCCATTTATTATATTACTGAGTTTACTAATAGTTTGTTTGTATGCATTTCAGCCTTCATTGTTTCCAGTTAATAAAGATTGGAAATCAAATAGTGTCCATCTTATCTATGAAGGCTCAGGGATCAAATGAAGGACTACACAGATCTTTCAGGATTTTTTCTTTACCTCATAGAAATATGCATTATTGTATCTCACTTTTAGTAATGAGGTGTAAGTATTTAAGAAATGATATGATTTTTTTGCACTAAACATCAAATTATGTAATAGTGTAAGAGGTATTTAATTTGCACGATTTAACATAACATTTAAAGTATTTGGTATGGCCTGGATGTAATTTTTTCTTGTCCCTTAAGTAACTATATGTATGTAATAATACTTTGGTATATGCCAGTTTTGGTTAATGGCGAGAACTTGTCTATTTTACACTAGCTGTTTTATTCTCATTATATTTTTATTATTAGTTAATCTCATTTAAATTTACAGGTCAGGACAGCTGTATCAATTTGTTTCGTTTTCATCATCCTAGCTGTGATGTTTTGCATAGCAATTCAGTGTGTTATCCACGTCTTTAAAAATTGACATTCTGCTAACTGTTACTGCAGCAACTGCTGTTGCCAAAAGGCATTGTTTTTTGTAATATGCATGTTTAGAGAGAGTCAGGTAATCTGATTTTATCCTGAAATCTGGATATATTTCATCTGATATTTGGGTGCATTTTTGCCCCCCTTATGCAATTTTTTCTCCTTTTTTTTCTTTTTTTAAGGTCCTATTTGACCTGATAAGTGTGTTAATTATGTGAACCCATTAAGGATAGTGCCAGTATGTGGATAGAATAAAGTTGTATTTAGTTTCAGTCGTTGTTTAGACCGGAATGAAGTGAGTTGTTAATTTTCTTCGCACTCGGGGTTGTTATCGACTAGTCTCAGCAACCGACCTGTAAATTTTTCATTGTACAAACAAAGCAGAAAACGATGCATAAAATGGGTTATTTTTTCAATTATGATGCAATAATACATTATTAACACCAAAATCAACACCAGAATTTAATTATGCACAACAGCTAACATGGATATTAGGAATATGTAACTAGCAGGAGGCTGCAGGCCCAAGATTTCAAATTTACACATAGGACATGCCAGAACACCCCCTCTCAAAAAAACTTTATCAATATCACACAATTTTCCTGCTAAAAATCTCTCTTGCATCACTTTTTCATGGTCACATTTTTTTTATTTTATTTTTATTTATTTTGAATATATGTATTTTCAAGTGGAGTAGCTCCTGTGGTTTTATCAATAATTTGATCAACCAATTAAATATATTGCTTTTTCTCCTGAAAATCTTTCAAAATCTATTTGTATAAAATTTCTTATACACCCACTTTACGGTTTGAACCAGGACAATCCATGTAAAAATGGTCTCAATAACTTGTAAAAAAAAATTAAGATACATTTATTATATGGGAATAAATCTGCTCATTTTTTTTTTTTTTTTTACCAATTAGTGATATTGCCTTTTCTCATGAAAATGTTCTTTCAGATTGGATTTACATATATTTCTTATCAACCCACTAAACAATTCAAACCTGGGTAATTCACGTTTAAATGCTCAATTATAAAGAAATCTAAAATGATTTTTATATGCAAATAGATCTGCTTTATTTTTTCTTGCAGCGATTTCCACAAATTTGCAGGTATTTTTGTTGACAGCTATGATTATTTCCACAGACCGATTGACTAACAGTAATTGTGTACATACATACAGAAATTATACATACATAACATATAATTAAAGAAAAAAAATAAAATAAAAGATGACAAAAATACAGAACTGTCCCAGCCTCATTGTGGCCAATCACCTACATACGAATCAATATCCATATAGGCCGTTTTCTGACCTGTATTTTTTCCCCTATTAATCCGGTCCTTTTTACTCTTGGGCTAGCCGGTCACCGTAAATAAGAGAATACTTTTTCCTGGATAACTTACTGCCAGTTCTCTTATTAAATTATGTACATGTGATGATATTTTACAACAAATGCATACAAAATTTGATAAAATGATTTTATCAGCACACCGCAGGTTCACTGGCACTACAAAGTATAATAATTACTCTTTGGACAAAAAAAAAAAAAATGAACCAACAAAGTGTATTATTTCATAACATACTAAGACCGCATAACAATAAACCTTACTAAAAGATTAAGAAAGCAATATCATGTGGTATGAGTAACAACTTAGGTGGACATATTATATAATATCAATACCATTTTGTTCGTTAAAATGAGAAGTCCTATTCAAAAAAATATTAATTACACAACTGCTAAGCGCAGATAACTATCACATATATGCAGTACATGCCTGCATGTGCATTAATACATACAAAAACTGCGCCATGATAATTACTTATGACCACTATATGTACAGACACGACAATATTCAGCATAGTATATTTATATATACACACATACATCACATAAAAACTAACTCCCATGTTTTTAATTATTTTATATAAATCAGAATTATCCTCATATATTCTTAGGAACAAGTGTGAGCTATTTCATATGTTAATCTATTTTAGGTGTCACCATAGTGTGTTTTATTATAATTAAAATCTATTTCTTGTCACTGCAGACACAGGTGCTATGAGCCTCACTCCACTTTTCCCTCTGAAATTGTATTTTTATATTCAAATTTGCCAACCATTGGAGGCAGAAATACATTTTAAAACAATAATAATAATAATAATAATAAAATACACAAATAAAGTAAATAAATACAAATATAAATAAACAAGTGGGTTCCCTCCCCTCTACTCAAAAATGCCAGTGTTGATAGCTATCCAAGTAACATCCATTTTTGTCATTATTATCAATATGTGAATAAGACCCCATTCCCATAGATTTTAGATCAATCTATCCCTGTGGGGAGTCTCACTAGATTACTGTCAGCTTAGCCGGCTTAAGCGTCTGTCCCGCCTACTAGAAGCTGTAAGGGGGTAATTAACTATGGTGCGCGCTCGGCTGACTGCAATTTAGCGTTAACCCCCAGGGAGTTAGGTCGATCTAAATCTAAATCTCTGGATCGATCTAAATCTCTGGGAATGCACCCTAACACTGCAGCCACTACATATGTATAACATACATAAAGCACAATACGAAGCCCTTGTTTCTTTCACAAAAACCATCAGAATTCAACAGCCCTGATGACTAAAGCATAACCTGTCTGTCAAATCCTTCAAAAGTGATGAAATTTTGCTGTTCATCTCCATGTGCAAAAACATGTTTGAATGATTAAGGAAATGCATCACAAAGTATTTGACATCCTCCAATGCCAGAGTTTTACATGTATTATCCACTTGGCTTGTACAGTCTGTGCCATTTTTACCCAGGTTCTGCAGTACACTGCATTTACAACACCAAATTCTAGTGTGTTCAGTAGGACAGTGTAATAGATGCAACAGTGCGAAAGTGTGCTAGGTGTGATAGCGTGTTAGGTGTGACAGTGTGTTAGGTGTGACATTATGCCAGATGTGACATTGTGTTAGGTGTGATGGTATGTCACATCTGACAGTGTGTTAGGTGTGACATTATGCCAGATGTGACATTGCGTTAGGTGTGACGAGGTTTCACACGTCATCTCCTCCAATTCCTGGAATCAAAATTCTCGTGGGCTGCATTCTGTGATCCCTGCGATCCACACCAAGGCCAAGGTCACCGTCATCAATCATGCTCTGTAAATGGAACAGAAATTAAGTTCAAAATATGTGTATTATTATTTATGAAAATTGCATTTATTTTGTACAACGTTTTGATCGCTGGTTTGGTGACTTGTGTAATGATGACTTTCTATACTTCACTATAATTATCATATTTTTTTTCACAAAAATTGTACTTTTTAAATTTCCATTTTTTTTTGTATATTTATCCCTAAAATAAATTATGAATAATGAAAAAAAAAACTATCAGTGTCTTCTCTTTTAATCCAAATGCTTTAATAAGACATTTCTTTTCCAAAACTTCAACCACAACTTCCCTTCAACCACTTTGAAAACATATCCCAAATAGAGACCACCCCTTCAAACTACCCCAAACGCAGTTTTACTTCCCCCTACAGGAAACCATTTCAATCAAGTTGTATACAATATGTCTGTAAATACAGCTAAAGGCAGCTAACTTCCTCCTCCCCTATAGCCTCATAAAGTAATCCCTTGTAATTGAAAAAGAAATTGAATTTGATGTGTAGAGGTGCGAGAGATAGAAAGAGAAAGAGAGAGATATGCTGATATTGTATAAGACATTTTTCTTAAGTGTATGTAGACTTGTGTGTAAATATGTGGCTACTTGATGCATGTGTATAAACAAAAACTGCAAAAAATTTGAAAATATTTGTCTTTACGTTCTCAATTTTGAAAAGCAATTTGAAATACAACAATGATATGATAGGGTTTGTGCTGGTCCAGGACAAAGATTGTGAAAAGAGTAGTTGGGTGGGAAAAAAAGGGGGGGAGGGGATTATGTAACTGAAAAAATGAAAAAATATATAGGCAGGTTTATGCAAATAAAAGTTTAAGTCCCAAGACAAGCCCATCCCAAGGTAAATGCTTCCACCTGGTGATCAGGTAAACATTATCACATTCAATAATCACCCTACAATATACTTCAAGGAGGACAAGTATTTGATCAATAAGAACAATACAGGTAATATAAATATATATTGATACAACATAAATAATGGGATACAGTACAGAATTTCACTTTCAACCACGCCACTGGTAGAATTAAATGGTTTTCTTGCTAGGATTTTGTTGCACAGAAAGACACTCAGAGGCAGTATGTAGTAGGTGAATAAAAAAAGGAAAAGCAACTCAAATCTGAAATTTCAATTCTTCAAATAACATTTCTTAAACTACTCTGTCAAATCTGTTTATGGAATACAAGTTTTATTACATTCTATTATGACAGAACTCAGATGGAGCGTAAATAGTTATACAAAAATTTGTGTAACTGTTGTGGATAATATTTTTATGAGAAATTAAAATCTAAGTTGGCTGTTTTTCCTTTTTTTTTTCACTCCACACCTTTTGTTTATCCGTCTCTATAGTTATATTTGTCTTTCTGTCTGTCTGTTCATATGTCTGTCTGTCTGTCTGTCTGTCAGCCTCTCTATTCCCTTTACTTTCATATAACAAATGTGAGACAATATCAACCCCACACCAAGACAACACCTGGGTAAAAATTAAACTACTACATCCAATAAAAAGCCTCTATTATATACGTCTACCTCAGCTATTGGCTGTTAATGCAGGTTTTGCATTCATTCCATCTAGCAACAAGAATATCAGCATTGGTTATAATGAAGTCATACAAAAAAAAAATGAAAAAAAAAAAGAAATAAGAAACAAAAACAATACTAGCAGTCATAAGCTTGGAGTGATTTTAGTAAGCAAATTAAAATTGCACTCTGAATTTCAGAAGAGCTTTGCCTTTCACTGTTTTCCAGATAACACAGTGATAATATGGCAAAACTGGATCAAAAAGTCTCATAAGTGTGGTGTTTTTTTTTTCCCCCTACACGTGTATAACAAATATCGCACTGAAATTCAGAGCAGGCAATTTTCAGGCAACTACAGTTGATATACATGTAAAATGAAATAAAGTAAAACAAAAAATAAATAAATAAATAAAAATCAACAAAATGCAATGTTATCACAGCAACTCATCCAAAAGCTACCTCAAAGATTAAGTAATAGTATTAACTCCAGGCTGGATGTCATCTAGATTTAACTGGAACAAGAACAAAATAACAAATAAAGCTGAAACTGAAATGTAATCAGTGCACTAATAATAAGAATATGTTGTAACAATATCCCTTCGTATCCAGGTTTCTGTTACAGAAATTATAGAAATCTTCAAACACTTCATATATTTGTTTATCATTTTCGTTTTGTCATCTTTTTTTAAAACAATTGCTGCTCAGGGTTTGACTGGACCAGGTATAATATTTAATTTTAAGATGTGGTGTTACAGTAGTTACAAATTTCCTTGGATTTCTACCAGTTTTTATGTGCAAAATTTCAAATAGTTTTACTTTCACAGAGCTATCAGTATACATATCTTTAAAAATCTCAATGTATCCATGCTTGGTCTTTTAGGTTTCTATATACGAGACTGGGTCTCTACTGAATCAAAAGCTTTCTTGTAGTCAACAAAAGCAACACATAGTAGAATGCTGTATTCATAACATTTCTCCATTTCTCAAACAGTTGGCAGTTAACAGAACAGTGTGTTACATATTTTATGTAGAAAAAGAAAAAAAATCACTTTTCAAAACTTTTCCCTTCCATCACAAAGGTTTTCCATACTAAAAGTCAGTGAAAAAATTGCAAGCTATACTCTAAACCAGCTTTATGTTCTAAAAATCTGGTTTCTGCCTCACTCTCAAAATGGAGCTGGAGATCAGCAATTTTGTCCTATGTTAATAAATTAACCACATTTGCTTTTATATAATTTATAGTCAGAAGCTTCAAGAACACAAGTATACAATAACTTCATTTTATAAAAATTTATTGTTGACAAATACACCATTAATTCTGTGGTGGCTCTGTCCATTAATCTAATGGATATCTACACCATTTACTGTGTATACACATATATACATATTGTAAGTAATGTCAGAGCTTCATTCCTGACTTCAAAACACACACGTATATATTATCCATATAAACATTATCTATGCTAATGATTCAATCTTTTCAATGGGAAAAAATCATCAATCTTTCAGATACATAATTTAGAAATTATAAAAATCAAACTTCTATGGCGTATTTGTGGTGTTTTTACTACATAAAATTAAACAATATGTTAGCCTGCTTTTCAATTTTGTAGCCACCAATCAATAAGTATGTTTTAATTTTAAGATATATTGTACTTTAAAAAAAACACATTTTTGTAAAAATCACAATTTTCCACATTGAAAAGATAAGAGGGATTACGGTATTTTCTTGAGTAAAGGTAATAATACTAATTACAAGAGCTCACATTGATGATTCAGTCATGTAATTAATACCCTTTGATAAATGGTGAAAATGTCAGGCTCCAACGCAGCTAAAACACACCAGTCTTTATTTTTTAACATCCATGTCTACCAAGATGTTTTTTTTTTAACTTGGTGATTGCTGAGTTTCTCCAGAGCATTTCCTTTTTTCCACATATAAATATTAAAAATAATTTTCATGAACAATCTTGGATACAAAATGTCCAGGGAGAATGGGTGTAGCTTATATAGTTCAACTAGGATAACCAACTACATAAAGTTCACTTTGTAATACTGGCTGAGGAGCTTTCAATTAAAAGATTGGAATCTGATAAATGTTGCTGAAAAAATAAATTGACATGAACAACTTGCTTTAAGAGTTTTTTTCCGTATTTTTCAGTATAATTCTCTCTGAATGGCTTTTGTAGTAAACACTGTGTCTATTTGTTTGATGATGATAAATGCAGTAAATCTTTGAGGTTTTACCTATTGTCAATTGCATTTGCACACTAACTAAACTTCAAACTGTCATCATCCCTGTGTTTATCATCAATACCATTATACTGAATGCAACTTAATTTGCACTCTGTGTGTGTGTGTGTGTGTGTGTGTGTGTGTGTGTGTGTGTGTACATGTGCCCATACTTGGATACTGAAAACAGCAGCAGCTGTTTTAGATGGAGTATTATGCCACTTTTAAACTGTTAGGTGAGACACAACATCACAACCAACACAACCAGGACTATTCAATGTGTTAAGTGAGACAGCATCACAACCAACACAACCAGGACCACTGAGTGTGTTAGGTGAAACACCATCACAACCAACAAAACCAGGACCATTCAATGTGTTAGGTGAGACAGCATCACAACCAACACAACCAGGACCATTCAATGTGTTAGATGAAACAGCATCACAGCCAACACAACCAGGACCACTGAATGTGTTAGGTGAGACAGCATCACAACCAACACAACAAAGACCAAACAGTGTCAGTTTTTTTTTCTTCTGGAAGTTGCTACACTTCTAGCATCTGGACATCATCTGAGCTGGCAGTAGAGGGTGTGGTTGTTGTAGCTGAGAGGTCCCCTTCCCCAACCTCAAAACAGAAACAAAACAGGACACAAATCAACACACAATCAAGACAAAAACAGGGCAAGAAAGATAAAAGGAGGAACATCAACAATTAAGATCAATTTCTCATAATCTGAATCAGTTCAAGATGAATTATCAGTCAACAAGTAAACATATTCTGTCCTTCATCTTTTTTGTTTTCAAAGGAAAAAAAATTAATTATTATTATGTACCAGTGCAGCATGAAAACTCCACTTACACTGCTCAAACATTACCAATAATTAGAACTTTATCAGTCAGAGGTCATCTCAAGGCCAGGAAATGTTAAACCAAGTAATCATCTTGTATTTTTATATAACTGATAGATATAATAGATCATGGGACAGAAAAAAGTAACTGAATCATGCGTGATGAACTCATATCATTCAGTGAAGAATTCCATCACTGATGTTACATATGAAGAATTATAATATTATAATTCTTTTTAATTATAATAATATTAATTTCTTAAGGCAACTTTTTTTTTTTTTTTTTTTTTGCTCCAACATTTCAGTATCTCTTTCAATCCTCACACCCTGATGAAGGGTAGGGTCTTTTGAGACACTGGAAAGTTTGGAAACATGAAACTGTTTTTCAATAATCAAAAATCAATTAATTAAAGTTATTCAGTGTATATATATATATATTTATATATTTGGTGAGCTCACATGATTACTTTATAATTATTCAGATGAAGACCTCATTGGTCGAGTGTATTATAGTGAGAATACTGGAGTTTAATTATTTGAAAATCAAGAAACTACTATAATTATTCTAAATTTGGTTCACATCATGAAATCCAAAAATCAGCTTAAAGTGACAATACTATATTTCTACTGCCTGACTGCTGATGTAGTCTGAACAAAGCTATATAAAATGCCATATATAATGCCTTCAATGTTCACTACCAGAATATTTTGAAAAAAGAAAGTCAAAAGATTTTCACTTGATCCAAATTACAACTGATGAGAAACATGAGAAATTGACCTTAATCAACTACATCATTTCCACACATTTTATCCTGTCATTTAGATTTTATTTTTATTTTCAAATTCAATGGATTGTGAATATTTGAATTACAAAACAATTGTCTGTACATCATTAACAGAAATTAAAAACTTAAGTTCTGCAGCAAAAGGAAAAGGGGGCCAAAACCAACCAAAAATCCAAGTCTAGATATTATCCCCGAGGTTATAAACTTACCCATTAAAATAGCTTTTAAGAAAGTAAAACATAAACCAAAAGGGAAAATGAAAGTAACACAAACCAAGCCAATATAACCTGAACCAAAATAAACCTAATATAAATGAATTTTACCACTTTCCAGTTTCCATATATCTTTCACAGCTAAGACATTCCTTTGTGTATATGCCTTTCACATAGAAAAAGGTTTTTCATAGTTTCTTGCGTAAAATTAGTAAAAAAAGCTCACATTGATGAAACAGCCCTGTGATCTAGGTCTTTGACGAGGGATCAAAAACACCATGCCTCACATATAGAAAAACATTTAATCTCTTTAGCAACATTTAACATGTATATTTAGAGCAATATTTTACTTGTAATGCAATGATAATATATGGTGTGACACTGACGGTCGTGGCATTGTCACCAAGAGTGACAGTGTGTTGGTAGTGAAGCTGTGAAAAGTGACAATGTCTTGGTTGTGATATTGTGCCGATTAAGACATTGCGTCAGATGTGACATTTAGATGGTGTTCTCACAACCCTATATGCCACAGTACAGCTGGTGTCAATAAACGGATATCAACAATATTAATTATAACAAAACCTTTAAGACAGTAACCTAACACATAATTAAGGACTTCTTCAGTGCAATCCCCATGCCGTATTCTGAACTCCTCAAAATACCTGTTAAAATTTGAATAAAATTAAATCCCTTCCTAAATAAAAGTGTTCTTAAATTAATACTATGTGAAACATATCTCAAACTTATGCTTGTGCATGCTGTTAATAAAATGTAAAAAAATACCTAAGGGCAATTAACCTTAAAGGTCACTTTAACAATGCATGCTAATCAAAATCAGCATGCAATTATTGTCAATTATAATATCACAAAATTTGGCAATATAAGTATGAAGATAAGATCTGTTCTAGCTCATGCTAAATACCATGACAATGGTAAAGCAGAACATGACACCAACAGTAAGGCATCATCAGATTTACCGGTGATCAACAACACTTGATTCCTGTCTTCTGTCTGTCCTGATTTTTTTCTTTTTCTTTTTTTAATCAGTTTCTGATTGAAGGACTGATACTTAAACTATTAAACCTATATTTTTTCTAATAAAAATGTTTCAATTCTCCATAAAAAACATCAACACAATACACATATTATCTATCAAGTGGTAAAAAATCTTAAGACTTAATGTGGAAAAATAACATATCACTGGATGAACTTAATGGATGGTACATTGGGAGTAAAGAACATCTCCACACTCACCTCCAATGTTCCCTTCCTTCCTGTTTCTCCGTCCAGGATTTCGCTGTTATTATCTGCGCCGTATGTCAATTCATTTTCATCTATAATCATATCTTCGTCACTGTCATCAGAACGTCCAGGCTCAGCCTAAAAACAAATATATTTAAAAAAAAATAAATATTAAATGAATAAAATAACACCTTCAATTCAATATAATTTAACTTAGAAGCTATTTCACGATCTACTTTTTGAAATCAGTTTTTCAGCTTTATGCTTGTTCTGAGAACAAAATTTTTTTTAATGAATATATCATCCGTTTGACTTTTTAAAGTATAAGTTTTACTTCAAGAGACAAAGAAAAGCACTGTAACATATTTTTCCTGTGTTCAAACAAATTGCCATTTACCTGAAATTTCTCTAGTTACACGTATGAAGTACATTAAGAGCGATTCACAACAGCCGACTAACAAATCCACGGATCAAATATAGCTGACCCACTTGAATGCTTGTTGCAATCAATTGAGCGTCTTTTAGAAGGTTAAAGGGATAATAACTCTTCGTTTCGGCCAAAAAATGAATTTTCCTGGAGTAAACAACAATTTTCCCATACTTACCAATGGTTAATGAATCCATTTTTACATTAAAAGTTAGTCCCTGGTTTTTTTCTAAAAAGTTTGGTTTTTTGTTAAAATCTCTTAAGAGATTTTAACAGAGTATAGCCATCAGTGGAGGTCACGTGGTCTAAAGACAAGCTCAGATATCAGAATAATAGTTATAACTGCCGTTTTTGTGGTAAAACAGAATATATTATATTTCTATGAGTTATTCACAATGTTTTTATTGTGAAATATTGATCTCATACGAAGAGTTATTATCCCTTTAAGCAGTAAGTTTTTTAGTGGGTTGCCACATGTGATCTATTAATCCACTGTTGTGAATGCGGTCTAACAGTGAGATGTGTTACCTGTGCCAACTGCTGCTCTGTTGTCAGGAACATTGCAAACCTCCCGCAGCAAGCAGGCAGTGTTTCTGTGAGTGGAGGTCGCGCATGAGTCAGTAAAGGTTTCATAAATCTAGGAAAAAGAAGAGACAATTTTGATTTTATATAATAATAATTATAAAGTCAGACATACATTTAAGGCAATAACAATAACAACTGCTACAATAAAAATTTTCAAAAATATAAATAAACATTATTTATGATGATGCTACTGATGATGATAATAACAATAAGTTTAATTTTAACATTGTAATTATTATTATTTCTATTATTTTAACAAAAACAATAATAAAAATCATTAAGAGCGAACAGATCAAACTCCCTCACTTTTGGTCAAATTTGTACCACTTCATCACCAGCCAGGCCTTCTCTGACTCCTGTATTCTCATGGGGGGAGGGGCTGCATCTGTGGGACTCTGAAACAGAGAACACAAACATGATCATGGAGAACACAAATGTTGAGACTGATTCAGAGGTCAGAGAGGGGGCAGGGTGTGTGTGTGTGTGTGTGTGCTGTACTTAATATTTGAGCTGTTCGAAAATTAAAATTTCATTGGCTTCTAGGAGAGAATGGTACAAAGTAAAACCTTCCTAAACCTTCCCAACTGGAGTGTTATGATGTCAACATGATTGTAACTGGCAAAAGATGGAAGAATCAACATATTTTCAAAGAAGGCAAGCAAAATATATTTGTGCAATTTGAAGGAATAATTGAAAGAAAACTGGTTAAGCATGTGTGAGTATTATATTTCAGTCAGAAAAAAAGTGTATAAAATAAAGAAAATATTATGCCACGTGAATCTGTATTAAAAATAAGTACAGGTCTGTTGACTCCATGGAAGTGGAACAACAGTAATCAATATTTGAATCTCAGTGGGCCAAATTGTTGGTATAACCATATTTTGCCCAAATGTCTAAAAAAAAATCAGTTCATTTATGACCCAATCTTTTCAAAAAGGAAAATTGTGAATTTTACAGATACTGTCCTAAATTCTTTAAATCAGAAAATCCCTTTTGAGTGGTAGCATCTTATCTGAAAATCAGGCTACACTGTACTTCTTTTCAATTTTTATTGTTGCCCACTGAAAAGAGATTCATTACCATACCTAGGAGAATGCCGTAGATCAATGGCTTAAGTGAGGTAAAACTTAAATATTTATAACACTGAATCAATTACCAAAATAATTTTACATGTCACAATAAAAACTGTTCAATACAAAAGCACAAGACAAAGACCTTAGATTTACAAGTTGACTACACAAACAATGAGATAACATTCATATGCAGCCAGGTGGTAAGTAAATCAGGTGAGGTCTACATGTACATAAGTCAAGGTCATATAAAGGTCAAACTAAGGTCATACAGAGGTCAATAAAGGTCAGATACATGACATACACAAGAAACAACCCACAACTGACATCAAACAGACAGATGAGAAGGCACGAGGATGCAACACTGCCAGGTCAAGGTTATATGCAGGTCAAGGTTAAGGTCATACAAAGGCCATGAAAAGTTACACATACGTATTACACAAAATACATATATAGTGATTAAAATATAGATGGAGAAGAAAGTAAATGGGTAAGCACACTACCTGGTATGAACTTGAGAAATTTTTACATATTAAGTTTTATCATAAAAAGACTAAAGACATATGTGGACAAAAGTTTTAAATTTTTCAAAAAATAATTTTTTTTATAATTATTATAACTGCTATTATTATTATTATTATTATTATTATTATTATTATTATTATTATTATTATTTTTTAGACTGCATTTGCACCAAAATACAAAAAGGACAGATAGTTTTCTCAGGACATCCTGAAACATTTACAATTACCATCACAGTTTTCAATTAAAAATTTTGGCAGGTAAACATGGCACATTTCACCAATGTAGAATAGTAGAAGCTGCAACTTAAGTCAATTAATTATTTTATTTATTTATTCCCTCATTCACTTATTGTTTTTTGGCAACATTAATAATGGAATTGCATAAATTAATGAAAATCTAGAAGCTAAAAATCATGAAATATCTTTCTGAAATAAAATACAGGTTGAATATATCAAAGAATGGAAGTGCAACAACTGTTGCTCTTTCTTAAATACACAAACCAAGTCAGCAAAAGTGCATTTATGTTCTTGACTGCTTTGAGGCAAATTTTGTGAAACAGTCACAACCTCAAATCTGAAACATTCTTTACAATGGTAAATGGAAAAAATCAAACAGAAAAGAAGAGAACTGTTGAAGAAGAATTACCATGCTTGGGGAAAAAAGAGGATGAGCATTTTGCAGAGCAGCTTTCTTTGCATCAGTAAAGGAGACATTCCATATCAAGAAGATGTTAATAAGTTAAAGATAGTATGTAAAGAGTATGGTACAGAATTAAACATTCAGACACACACAAATTCTAAAACAGTCACAAAAAGACCAGGACTACAAAAGACAGCCAATACAAGTGATCAACAAAACAGTGATAAAAACAAACCGTAGTCATGTTCAAATTTGATTGGCCACTGGCAGTTGCTATGGCGTCTCCAGTATCTCCCCCCTGATTGGACGCTCCATTTGACTGTGCATCTGACATAGTCTGATAGCGTTTCTGTTTATTGATAGCCTGCGGAAACCCAGGATGAGGATAAAATATAGGTCACAAATGACTTAATTATAATAGGTACGTGATGGTGGTGTCAAGGTCAACAAAATTAAGGTCAACATAATTAAGGTCAACATAATCTAAGGTCAACTAATCAAAGGACACCAGTCAAGTATCTATAAATTTTCCATAATGACAACTTGGATACGAAAAATTAAGAAAAAGAATATACTAAAAAGATTACTGCTGCTCATTTTTTAATTAAGAGAAACCACATTTTCAATTTTTGTGAACAAAATGAATGTGCATGCATAATATAACAGTATGATAATACAAACAAATACAGTCAATATGACAACAAAATTGTACTGTTATATGAATAAAGCAGAGAAGCACACAGAAGCAAAGCATATTTTTTTCAAAGATTCTGGTGCCTGTTTCACAAAAGCACTTGGTCTTAATCTTTTAAAGAAAAATTATCTTCTCTGACCCAGGGTAAATCAACAGTTACCTCCTGTGCCAGTTATATTATTATATAATAATATTTTTTACTTCAGTCACTACAGATTCAATCTGTATGGGGATTATCCTAAAACTGACTGTTCACACTATGTGACATCACAGGACAGGCCATATGTGTGAAGTGGAGCTTATTTCTTAGGACAAGCAAAAAACACTAAATTTAATTCACCATTTTGCGACAGACTATAATAATTCTACAGAAAGCAAACAGAAGAAGAATGGACAATTTCTGTCAGCTTTAATTTATTGCTGCATGGCACACACTAGACTGCCATTGTTTTTGACATCATGAAATTTTGTTAAGTCCTGGGACTGGGTATCTCAAATGATCCCCATTGCAGTACACCAATATAACAAGTCCTGATTTAAGACCATCTTTAAGTCTAAAGTAAATGTGAATCTGAGAATATTTATATTTTTAATAGAATATACTAATATCCCACATTACAAACTCAGGTGAGGATGATAGAGAACAAGATAATTTAATTTCTATTCCAATGCCCACTAAAACCAGCCACATAGAAAATGTCTGGACTGGAAAATCAGTCAACATAACAATGTGTGCACATTTTTTTTTCAAACCAGCTATTTTAAAAATAAACAAAGACTGTTTGGTGCTATTTAACAGTGACATCAAAGGGTGGAAATGTGAACAAAATTTGAAATGATAATTGTATGAGTATAGTCATGCTTTCATATAGCTGTCCTTTTAATTGAGCTCATGCTGGCACATTCAGTTTTAGCCATACGCTAAAAGGCAGTCTACTTTTTCTAAAGAATAAATAAATAAGTAAATAACTAAAAATGAAAAAAAAAATGATGATTCATCAGAACTGACTCAAAATGCATGCCAGTGTCAGAAACATTCCAAACAAATTCCTTTTGCCATTTCAGACTGCTGACCTGAATTTCCATGCCAGCATTTAAACATAAAATATTTCTCCTTGTGTGACCATTAAAATAAAGGAAGCTGTATAATACTCACACTCCTTACTGCCTGGAAATTTTGAGCTTCTGATTCATCCTCCACACCAACCCTGAAAAGCAATAATTGTTAAATAAAATGCCAAATTAAAGATACATAAATTTTTAAAAACCTGTAATATCTTGATTATCTGTCCTAGTTTCTTACACATCACTTAATATATATATATAATAAAATCAACATAAACATAATATAAATAAATAAATAAATAAATAAATAAATAAATAAATAAATAAATAAATAAATACATAAATTATCTCTAGGGCAGCTGGGGATAAAAGGCTTAAAAACTGGTCATAAAATTGAACTTTTTTATTTACATTCCCACTCAATGAAATAAATGTTTTATTGTCATGATTATAGTTCAGAAAAACATCTCACCTTATCCGTAACCACTGCAACATCTGAGTGGTAAATCCCCCACATAAAATCACAGTTAAGATTACAATAAGTAGTGTGGTGGTAAACATCAGTTCTCTGGCGGGGGTCAGAGTATTTCTGATGGCTAATGCAAATGCTATGGCTCCTCTTAAGCCTAAATGTAAATGAGCAGTATTAATCAAGATTAGTATCATATTATAAGGCATGATTTATTATATTGATGAAAATTAATAATAATAATAATAATAAAGCATTAACTGTAATCTTTTTTTGTGATTCATCAATTTCCAGTCACTAATCAGAACTGCTGAATATTTCAGCAGGTTCCATCAACAAAAAGCTGACAACTGTTAAATAAATTATGTATATCTTTATTACCTGAATAAATTATGTATATCTTTATTACCTGAATAAATTATGTATATCTTTATTACCTGAATAAATTATGTATATCTTTACCTGAAAACATCATCATGTGCTGGAAATTCATTGGAATTTTATTTTTTCTGCCAAGATTTAAAAGGAATGAAAGAGGATATACATTGAGGCCTCTGCCAACAATAATAGCTAGCTGTGCAAATATGTTAAGGAAAAATAAGTTCAAAATGTCAATTTTAATAAGCTACATAAACTTATCAATTATGAAAAAAAGTTTCTTCCTTTAAAACCAACAATGTTCTAAACAACCTTTCACCCCTAGAAAGAAAAAGAACCCTCCTTTGAAATTGCTGGCTATGGGCCCGTCTAATAATGCTCAATAAATAATTCATACATTATTTTTTCTAATTCATCACATTTAGATCAAGGATACCAATGCTGCAAAGATGAAGCCAGGATCCCAGCGGTGACGGTTAAAAGTAAATATGGCCACTCCAATGTAGATAAATACAAAGTTCTCTGCCAGGAAGTTCAGAAGCTCGAACAACTGCAACAATACAACCATTTATTAATTACTTCACATTACTATGTAAACATCTTCAAACATTACAAATGGTAGAGTAGAATTTTTTTTTTATTTACATACAAGATCTTTTGCTACCACATTTTCAGCCATTAAGTTCAACAGCCAAGGGTATGTAAGCACTAAGCCATGAGTCTTTTTAAAAGGAGAAGGGGTGCTTGGAGTCGACATACACTCTGAGCGCATGTCAACTTCAAGTCGTAAGAGTGCATGTCGACTTCAAGCACCCCTTCTCCCTTCTGGTGGGCATATCTTGCAGGTAATAACATTAAATTAATTTACCAAATCATCTTCTCTCAAATAACAGAGTTAACTTTTTTAAGGAAAATTTATTCATTATCATGCAATTCTAGTTGTAGTTCAGCCTGAAATGTTCTTGCACTGTTCAGAGAATATAAAGACAGTGTAAATAATTGCTCAAGTATGCTACATATATTGTGGCGACTTCCATACCTGCTTTGTTCTGACTTTGGACTCCTGGGACAGATTGTTATATGTGTAGTGAGCCTGGCAGATACCACAGAATAGCACAGCAACAATTCCTGTAGGAAAACATCAAAATGTGCTCAATCAAAAAAGTTCTGATGCATGAAATTGTGTATAGTATACTAGTATAGTGTGCATACAAGATAACTGAGAGGTTTATTCAATTTTTATATATTACATATAATTTATAAAATACACAGAAAATGAGTATATATTCCATACCAGGTTTTAAAATATCAAATGAGATGAAGATTAAAAATTTAAGGTCAGTCTCAACAAAGACACATTCACTTATCACAATGATCTGTCACACCAAACACAATCTCAGCCAAGCCACACTGACCTGTAAGGCTTAGGGACTCGGCAGTCAGGAATGTGCTGTAAGACATGAGAAAGAACAGCGTGGTCTCCAGTAACGGGTAGTCCCTGATCTGGGTATATTTGGTAAGGTGGACTTGGTTAAGGAAAACTGATGGCATATTCATTTTACTGTGTAATTATACTTAATCAAGTATAAGCATAAAAATGTGTATATTCTGTAAGGTAAATTTCATACACTAATATTGTTCTGGGATAAATAAAATGATCTGATAACTGCTCACTATGCCACTGGGTGTAACACCTGAATGTCCTCACTCATCAGGGATGAGACCAGTCCTCACTGAAAAAGTAGGAAAATTGGTCAGGGGTGTAGGTTACGATTCACAAGAATGACCCAAATGACCTCCCAATAAGTCATATCCAACAAAAGTTGGAAAAGTCTCATCAGTGCTCATATAACTATGGGTCACATTCATTTACAATGAGACCATACTCAGACCAGACAGACAGTCTCGGGGAGCGTATGAGAAAATGTGGGAGGCATTATGTCTTTATTATGACAATATACCTTTAGCTGTGTCCACTGCCTTAGAGGAGATTCGTCCTCTTAAACCAATTTCTTCTGAGGACAGTTATGTAGAGCAAGTGAAACTGATCAGAAGTGTTAATTCTATTTTTCAGCAATTGGATATGGGGCCAAGTGCACATGGTTTCTTTGCAAGGATGTAGCATGTATTGTATCATTTTTTCTCCCTTACTCTGAAAATTCAATAATTTACAGTCCGCCCTATTTCCACAATCAACACATGATAGCCCACTTGCAACAACATGGATTTGGATAAAATAAAATACGGAAAGGAGTCTTGCCAAAAGAACAGTCACAGTAGCTGCAAAGTCCTTAGAGCAAGCCATTAGTTTAGGAATAGCAGTGAAGGATTCAGATGAAATATTAGAGAGAAAATACCTACATTTTTTAGAAAGAACAAATGAATATAGAATAACATGCGAACAGACAGGAGCTGATATAGAATATAGAGTTGTTTCCAATGTGGACTTAGACCATGACGATGAACATGTCAAAAACACTTATCTTATATATCTTAATGCAATCAAGATGTACAAACAATACAGTAAAATAAAATGAAGATGAAAATTCAGACTATCTAATTCAACTAAAAAAGAGGGAGGTTCTCAACTTCACAGGTTATAGAAAGGATTGGACAGAAATTAAAAAAAACATATGGCAAAATATGGTTATACCAGTTCTATTAAATAGAACAGCATTGGTTGTTGAATTGAAAAAACTCATGTATTGATGGCCAGGCTTACGTTGGAATTTGCAATATTTCCACAGTAACACAGAACAATATGGTGGTGGTGCAACTTATAAAATAAAGACACAAGAATCCCTTCGATTCAATATATCCCAATACCAGGCATGAGACCAGTCCTCACTGAAAAAGTAGGATTTACACGATTCACTGGATTTACACAATTCACAAGAATGGCCCAAAGGACCCTGAAAAGGTCAGAAAAGTCTCAACAGTGCAATACAAGTATACAGTGTGTTCATTTTTTTCCAGTGCCTATTATAACACAGAATCCAAAAATCAATAATAAACATTTTCATTTTTAAAATGAAAATAAAAATATCTGATAAAAAAAATTTTTTTAAGTGCACACACAGTATATTTATAAAATAATTGTCTCACCTTAAAATATAAGTAAATCAAATGAAATACCTCAGGAGGGATGATCATTCAACATAACAACTACAAATATACAACAACATACTTATACTGAACAACTTTTTCATCAGATTACAGCTTCAATACAGTTAATATTCAAGGATATCAAGGCAGTAATACATCCCATGAAGGACCCAATGGCAAAAGCTCCACAGAAAATGCCTAGGAAATTACCCAGTGACTCCAGTACAGCTTTATAGTCCACTGCGTCTGAGATCCCAGTGGCCCGCACATCGCTGTATTTCTCCACCGCACTGGAAGGAAATTTGAAACATATTCAATATACACCGTGGGTTTGATTCATAGGTAGATTCAGAAATAATTTAAAGCTAGATTCATATCGCATTGCTCAGTTGTTCCTTATCCAGCTTTCTATCTCTTCCATTTTTCTCCTTCTAAGTTGATTATAGGATAATACCAATCTCTCTCTCTCTCTCTCACTCTCCTACTTCCTCAAAACAATGGCACATTACTTCATAAAACATTATCTTCACTATACAGAGTATTTTATCATTCTTAACTTGCCATCTTTCTTTCTCACATTTTCTTCACCATAAAAATTGTCATAGTTCTCACAGAATGAAAACAATAAAGATGTGAATGTAACTGCTGAGAGACGTAATCTGATAGTTTACTAAATACAAAGAACTTTGTTTCACATCACAATGGCTTTATAGCTGAAAGGAAGATAGGTTGAACATCCAGTAGGTATTTGTGCTGAGGAAAACGACAAAAAACCCGCCACAGGAGTATTCAATAAGTTTTTCACATTAGTTTGAGAAACCACAAAGGGCAATAGTATACAGGAAGAAAATGTGAACAAAAATTCAGCAAAAATAAGTATACTTCCTTTCAATGTGGCATACCTTTCAAAAATTCTGAAAAAATGTGTCAATAGTTTAACAAAAGCAATTTAGGCTGCCACAACTTGCTTTTATTTTCTCTTATAGAGATCAAAGTAATCTTTTTTTCCACCATAAATTAACTTTCACTTTTTGTAGCAAAATTTAAAAGACTTTAAACAAAAACAAAGCTTGACTCAACAGTCAATAAAACTGGTGTTATAGACATAAGCAAATTATCTGGTAACTTAAAAGTGTAAATTTTTCCATAAAATACTCACAATTAATCAAACCAAGAGATTAAAGAACATAAAAAAGGGAACAAAATTTCTTACAAATTCTCAATACACCAAACCCATTGTTGAAAGTTGTTTCAATGACAGATCCAATATCTCATTTATAATTCTTTATAAAACAGTTGAAAAATTCAAGATTTGAGGATGACACTCACCCTGCTAACACAATGGCGACTGCGTCGTTGAGGACACTTTCACCAAATACCAGTGCATACAGGTCCACGTCTACGTTAAGATCATGAAATATGGCTAATATTGTCACTGAAAGAAGAAAACAATATGTTTTAACATCATTAATTGAATAATGATTAAAAAATGATTGGTAATTTATTAATAAATTTAGTATATGACCAATTAATTTATTGGCTTATTATTCATAACTGATTTACTACTTTACTAATTAATTCACTTACTTATCATTATTGTTTTTATTACCTCAAATTATCAAAATTAATTGACTTCGAATATACAAGTTTCTTTTCCTACCTTTCCTAGCTTTCCTAGCTTAAAAGGTGGAAAAGTCTGTCCAAAAAAGACAAAAATTTAAGTAATTTAATATGGCTTCATGTGTGACAGGATTTTAAATATAAATGAAAAAACCATTCAATATTTACCTGGATCTGTAGCTGAGATTAAAGCACCAAAGAAAAGGCAATCTGTCAATCCAAAATTGGTGAGCCCCCACTGCTTCCATAGAGAGCTGTAAGTCACCATTAGACGGGTGAAACCATATAATATCCCACTGAAATAAAGTAATCATATTTAATTTTGCTGTCATTCTTTCAAACACCGTAATTGATAGATTCTGATATATGAAGATCTAACACACATTATGAGACTATAAACACATAAGAAATTAGAAAGAAAACAAATCAGATATCTAAAATATAAGTATACTCACCCCACAATCATACAAGAGACAGCCGTCCCAAGAAAGGCGAAAGTTACTATTGCACCAAAATTGCGGAAAAAGTGGCGCTTTAAAAGAAAGATGTGAGACTTTGATTACATGTATGTATAGACAGTACTTTTTTAAAGCAAACAAATCAAAATATTTTTTTATTAATATAAATTTCTTATTTTTGTTATTACATATGTCATTGCTGTATGCAAATATGTCCTTGACAGCTGAATAATATCAAACATGAAGAAAAGAAATGTAAAGACTCACCCTTTTCATACTATACCCTGCATGGAAAATAATAGGAGGAAGTAGAACATTGAAAAATATCTCTGGATCAAAGGTCGCCTAAGGAAGATAAAAAAAAAAAACAAATCCCATTTATTCAAGCCATTAACAAATCATAAAAATAGTTTAAAATTACTTAAAATGTTATACTAGTAATCATTAAGAGCTTGCAATTTTTCTTAAAGCACAAAAATTTACCTGATTGCTAAATATACGTAAATGAATTTGAATTCAGAAACTGTAATCAATAATCTTTACTGTTGTTTCCATTATTTATTGTCAATTATATTTGTAACTTATTTCTACATAATGCTCTATCAATAATTTCATCAAAGAAACAATCAATTATTACCATCAGAAAAAAAAGAAAGATATTGTACCTTATCTTCGATCTCTGTGCTCTCAGCGTTATACACCAGGCCTTTGAAGCTATACAGGTACTCCTGTGTAATAAGCTGCGTGTTATTGGCCACGTCGCTGAACAACGAAACCTCCAGATGGATGTTGTCAGGAGGATGAGAGAAATTAAAGGGACTCTCCTCTGGGAGGGTGAAATTTTGCCATAACTTTTGTTCTGTTGTACTGGTGTATCTGATGATGACTCCAACTATTAAACCTAAAATACATAGATTTTATAAATTAATAAATGAGAGAGAGAGAGAGAGAGAGAGAGAGAGAGAGAGAGAGAGAGAGAGAGAGAGAGTGAGAGAGACTATGGCTTCATTCTGAATTAAAATATCATTCTAAGTAAATTGATCCGACAACAACAAGCCCCCTCCTGGCCTTGAGCTATATATATATAGAGAAAAGCTGGTGATTATATATGTTGGAAACAAGTGGAGGCATGTTTCATAATCTGATAATCTACCTGTATTCAACAAGAGTACAAAAAGTTTCATTGGGAATAAACCCTATGTATACATGTAATANGATCAAAGTAATCTTTTTTCCATCATAAATTAACTTTCACTTTTTGTAGCAAAATTTAAAAGACTTTAACCAAAAACAAAGCTTGACTCAACAGTCAATAAAACTGGTGTTATAGACAAAAGCAAATTATCTGGTAACTTAAAAGTGTAAATTTTTCCATAAAATACTCACAATAAATCAAACCAAGAGATTAAAGAACATAAAAAAGGGAACAAAATTTCTTACAAATTCTCAATACTCCAAACCCATTGTTGAAAGTTGTTTCAATGACAGATCCAATATCTCATTTATAATTCTTTATAAAACAGTTGAAAAATTCAAGATTTGAGTATGACACTCACCCTGCTAACACAATGGCGACTGCGTCGTTGAGGACACTTTCACCAAATACCAGTGCATACAGGTCCACGTCTACGTTAAGATCATGAAATATGGCTAATATCGTCACTGAAAGAGGAAAACAAGATGTTTTAATTTCATTAATTGAATAATGATTAAAAAATGATTGGTAATTTATTAATAAATTTAGTATATGACCAATTAATTTATTGGCTTATTATTCATAACTGATTTACTACTTTACTAATTAATTCACTTACTTATCATTATTGTTTTTATTACCTCAAATTATCAAAGTTAATTGACTTCGAATATACAAGTTTCTTTTCCTACCTTTCCTAGCTTTCCTAGCTTAAAAGGTGGAAATGTCTGTCCAAAAAAGACAAAAATTTAAGTAATTTAATATGGCTTCATGTGTGACAGGATTTTAAATATAAATGATAAAACCATTCAATATTTACCTGGATCTGTAGCTGAGATTAAAGCACCAAAGAAAAGGCAATCCGTCAGACCAAAATTGGTGAGCCCCCACTGCTTCCATAGAGAGCTGTAAGTCACCATTAGACGGGTGAAACCGTATAATATCCCACTGAAATAAAGTATTCATGTTTAATTTTGCTGTCATTCTTTCAAACACCGTAATTGATAGATTCTGATATATGAAGATCTAACACACATTATGAGACTATAAACACACAGGAAATCAGAAAGAAAACAAATCAGATATCTGAAGTAAAAGTCTACTCACCCCACAATCATACAAGAGACAGCCGTCCCAAGAAAGGCGAAAGTTACTATTGCACCAAAATTGCGGAAAAAGTGGCGCTGTAAAAGAAAGATGTGAGATTTAGATTACAGGTATGTATAGCCTGTATTTTTAAAGCAAACAAATCAAAATATTTTTATTAATATATATTTCTTGTCTATTTTTGTTATAAATTATATATAGTGTCATTGATGTACATAAATACGTCTTTGTCAGCAGAATAATATCAAACATGAAGAAAAAAAGAAAAGACTCACCCTTTTCATACTATACCCTGCATGGAAAATAATAGGAGGAAGTAGAACATTGAAAAATATCTCTGGATCAAAGGTCGCCTAGGGAAGATAAAATTTTCCAAATCAACGAATTACAAAAAACAAACCCCTATTTTATTCAAGCCATCAACAAATCATAAAAATAGTTTTAAATTACTTAAAATGTTATACTAGTAATTATTAAGAACTTGCAGTTTCATTAAAGCACAAAAAAAAATTACCCGATTGCTAAATATAGGTAACTGAATTTGAATTCAGAAACTGTAATCAATAATCTTTACTGTTGTTTCCACTATTCATTGTCAATTATATTTGTAACTTATTTCTACATAATGCTCTATCAATAATTTCATCAAAGAAACAATCAATTATTACCATCAGAAAAAAAAGAAAGATATTGTACCTTATCTTCGATCTCTGTGCTCTCAGCGTTATACACCAGGCCTTTGAAGCTATACAGGTACTCCTGTGTAATAAGCTGCGTCTTATTGGCCATGTCGCTAAACAACGAAACCTCCAGATGGATGTTGTCAGGGGGATGAGAGAAATTAAAGGGACTCTCCTCTGGCAGGGTGAAATTTTGCCACAGTTTTTGCTCTGTTGTACTGGTGTATCTGATGATGACTCCAACTATTAAACCTAAAATATATAGATTTTATAAATTAAAAATTGAGAGAGAGAGAGAGAGAGAGAGAGAGAGAGAGAGAGAGAGAGAGAGACTACTACATGGCTTCATTCTGAATTAAAATATCATTCTAAGTAAATTGATCCGACAACAACAAGCCCCCTCCTGGTCTTGAGCAATATATATATATATATATATATATATATATATATATATATATATATATATATATATATATAAGCTGGTGATTATATATGTTGGAAACAAGAGGAGGCATGTTTCATAATCTGTTAATCTACCTGTATTCAGCAAGAGTACAAAAAATTTCATTGGGAATAAACCCTATGCAGGGGCGGATTTAGGCCGTCTTCTGGGTCTTCTGGAAGACGGTCAGATTTTAAAGTTTACATTGACGGGTATGTAATATTTTCTGTCGGAAGACGGTCAAAAATTGAGGACGAATTAACAAAGATAAATTGGAAGACTGTCAGAAAATCTCTCTGGATCCGCCCCTGCTATGTATACATGTAATATTATAATGTGTGTGTGTGTGTGTGTGTGTGTGTGTGAGTGCGTGTGTGTGTGTGTGTGTACATGGACGTGTGACCATAATGAGTACTGTATGCTTATATACATGCATTTTTTAAATCAATCCAATGAGTCAGTATATATCATACATTTTACCTGTATCATTACATTAATTAGCTATATTTCGATCTACATCGCAAAACGTACCAGCATGACTTCAATATTTCTACTTGGCTATTTGCCATGATAGCAAAATTAATGGCTTTCCTGAGAATTAGCAATGTTGTGTCCGTTTACGTCACATGGTGGTCCCAAATTTGATAGTCTTGATAACCTCTTGGGCCAGAGAAAGATTTATGTACACTATGCCTCCACCGTCAAAATGAAGGATGTCTCAATTGTCTTCATCAGCACAAGTTTGTCAATTTAGTAATGGATAGGTATCCAAAAATGTACTTCACAAATTCTGATGATATTTTCAGGAAAGAAGTGATGACAGTCTTGAATGGATACTGTATATTTTCTAAAGAAATTCTCATTGCCTTTTTCTTTTGTAAGTATCTGAGATCTCAGAATGTTCTGCAGTTATTCTAGTCATTTCACACTACAGAAGGCTTTTTTAAATATACTATGATGAAATTTTTTAAAATAAAGGTAGACAAAGTCATTATTTATCAAGCTGATAAAATATATAGTATAATGTCTGTGTGAGTACAAAAAAAAAGCATCTGGTATGCACGTAACCCAGTGTTTCTACAGCTGTTTACTGCCTATAGAGGAGGATATATGATATAGTAACAGACATACAACTCTATTTAATTAAAGGAATGCAATGATGCAAGGTGTGTTAGACTATTATACAGCAAAAAAAATCCTGGAGGTTTCAAATTTCTTGAATATTTCCAGTAGATAATAAACCTTTTTTCCAAGTTCAAAATGTCAAATTTGAACATCACTGGTGATATGACCAGTCATTGGCATCCACACTGTGAGAGTAAATCAAAAACTGGAAACATTTTTTCATCTTTTCAGTATTGAATCTTATCTGGAAGGTGAATGAATGAATGAATGAATGAATGAACAAACAAATGAAGGAATGAATGGATACAAACAAACAACGAAAAATTTTAAAATCCCAGGCACTTATAATCAACCAAGCTCGGCAAGGCAACCCACATTGCTTGGAACCACATATAATCCAGACATCTACAATCCCTGTGACAGTAACAGCTGTGGTTTGGACTATTACAGTTGATGTATTAAGTAACAAATAAGGTGAAGGACATGCCTGGATCAGAGACAGTATTTTGTCAGAAAGCAAGAAACACCTAAACCTGAAATATAGATGTGCTCCATCACACCAGCATCAACTGTTATTCATATTTGATACAGTTCTATATATAAGCACATGTTGCAAACTGCTGGATGTGAATGTTTCAACTGGAAGCTGTGATTTTATCTATTTTATGTGTTTTCACCTTATTTACTTCCATGCATCTCTCTCTCTCTCTCTCTCTCTCTCTCTCTCTATGTATGTGTGTGTGTGTGTTGACTACATGAGTATGCAAGTGTGTGTGTGTGTATGTATGCAAATGTATGTGCTTAAATATATAACACATACACATGCAGGAAACAAATGACAGGAAATGAAATCCATTCAAGTTACTCACGTTAAAATGGAATTGAAACAGAATATTTCATTTCATGTGGTGATAATAAATTAATGACATGGTGACTACAGCTGTAAGCAATCTCTCCTCCTTATATTATGAAATTTAACACTGTTCATGCACATGTCTTCTGGGCTTATTATAGCATCATTCACTTTAGTCATATATTGAACTTTTTTTTTTTTTTTCAATCTAATTAGGCTGAGGAAAATTAAGCATTTCATTATTTTACCCCATTTTCCAATGGAATTCATATCACTGGTGAAGTACAAAATTTAGATTTGGAATGGTGTACATGTATCTATATGGCTGCAAATAATTTTATCCTGGAGGAGGGCAAATCTGTTATTTGATTATCAACTTCAACCGTGCCAGTCCACATGAACATGTTATATATGAAAACCTGTAATAGAATCGGTAATTTGAACCACCAGCTTGAAGATGGGCATACTGTACATACATACTACTACTAGGTACTGTAATTAAATTACTCAATGACAGTTTGACTGCAGGTTGATGATATAAGCAGCCTTAATGACAGCAAGAATAAGTACAGAGTATGCTCAAGCAATGTTTGTTAACACCCTTTGAATATAGGCACTTATCTTAGAGCTTAATAATATGATAATTGGTGTTTTATATGTTTTTTGTGTATAGAGGCCAACAATTTATAAAGCATTTTTGGCAGATTTGTTGTCATGCTTTTATCAAATGAACTACAGTTATTCAGAAAATTTCTGTCACAGATATTCGAGTCAGCTGAGCAAATATTTCTCACATTAACTTCTCACTTCCTTAATAAAAGATCTGCGTATCAATTAATCATATTGACAATTCAGTGACTTATTTCCCATTTTAAAATGTTACCAATCTCACCATATAGTATTCCCAGGCCTGTCTCGTGAACAAACCGCAGCCGTCGATGTTTAAACAGCCAAATTGTTAAAACAGTCATTGTCAATAAGATGAGAAAAATTAGCAGATTCAGACTGTCTATCCTGTGGCTTTCTTTTACTTTGTTCTCGATATTCTCATCCAGTCTACTGTTGCTGATTCCAGCCGGCGACAATGTCGCTGCTCCACCGTCTGCAGCCATTTCGCTCGTCGATTTTACTCGTCTGGTTTTCTAGAAACGCCTGTTATATTTTGCAGTGATAATTGGTTTTCGTTTATGCCTTACTCCCCCTCAAACAATCACTCCGCACAAAATAAAATAAGCCTATCTAAATAAAATAATTGTTAAAGATTCCAGGTGCTAACTTATTTTTAACAAATTTTAACATAGGAATTTGAAGATAAAAATTATTGAAGTAAATTGTTTATTGCATTTTTATGTCAAGCAGCTCCGCAGTAAATTCGACCGGAAGTTGATGTTTGCCACCTTCCGAAATACGAGCTGCAGCAGTTGGAGGTAATACTTCACAAACAGAGGTGCCTTTATGACTGGAAGGTGAGTACAGAGAGACGCTGGCATGTGTGGATGAGACTGAGTGTGAGAAAACGGATTTCCTTGATTTTGAGTGAATGTGGTCTGTTTTAGAAGTGAAAAATGAGAAGCTAAGTCCATTCAACAGGTTTGATCATTCTGAAGCTTGAAGGCTGAATCAAAGCTCTAGCGAACCCTCTCTGATTTCAGAAAAGTTGTATGTATTGGTGATGCCCAGGAACAGCTGCACCCGGTTCCTTCTGCCAAGGGTCTTTATTGGCAGATGTTTTATGACATAAATTCCAGCTTGAACCAGAGCAATCTCTGTGAATTTACAACATAACTAAGTCATTGCCTGCTGGACTAGTATTTGTAGTTATAGTAGGAGACGAGTACTGGTTCTAGTGGTTAACTAATATTAACCCAGTGGTGGATTAAGAGGGGGGTCCTGACCCCCCTTCCGTTTCTGAAAAAATCACACCAAATATTCCCTTTTCAAACTAGGATTTTGACTATCTGAATTGTAGTTCTAACCCATACCAAATGGCACCGTTCTCCCTATACCAATAATTTTCGCAGACCCCACCTTCAGCAGGCCCAAACCCCACGCCAAGGGGGGAGTCGGCTTCGCACCTTTGCCATTTGCCCCCCCCCCCTTCAAATAATCCTGGATCCGCCCCTGTTAACCGATAACTTTGGTTTTACTTAGATCTTTTTTCCAAATCAGGCCAATAGTAAACATGCTGCTGCTATGATGCCCTTTTACTATATGTCAGAGGCCAATTCACAAAATGACATTTCTATATTTATATAAATTAGTGCATGTTTATTGTAAGTAAATGTTTTGCTGTGATATAAGAGTATATGAATTAAGTTTATTTATTGATTTCACTGAAGAATTTTCAAGCAAAGTTTCAAACATTACAAGATAACATTATAAAAGTTATTTAAACTAAAATTAAGACACTGACATACAAATATGTAAGAAGGCAGTTCTTACAAATAAACCATAAAAATAAGAACATCCTGAAGAGAGGTTTAACCTGTTAGTTAGTGCATAGCATGTTTAGTCAAATGTAATAGGAGGAAGGGAGAACCTCACAACTTAGGAATGTTCTAAGGGATCTTACTCAGGCATTTTTTTTTTTCTTTTGCAGTTTATGAACTTTGTTTCTTGTCATAGCAATTAATATTTCTGTGGCCATTAAATGTTGTGAGTCTTTGTGCATAAGCTTGGATTTTAACACATATGAACAATTTCTGAAGTGTGAATGTAGCACACTCATGTCCTCAGTTGTAAAGCTTGTTGTGTTTTGATTTAAGGGAAAAACGAAATGATAAAAAAGTGTATACTCCCTGTGCAAACTTCCATTGGCTTTGGGCAATATTTCCCCAGTATAACAATGAATCATTTCTTTGTCTGATGTCAGTGCTGGCTGTCTGTAGAATGTGTCGAATATTCACAAGTTGTTTTGGGTTTTATTTATAGTATGAATTTCACATTTGTTAATTTTAAGCTGCTGTAAACTGGGGGTAATGTAGAATTGTTTATTTGTGTCTAAACCCCATATTGTTTTATATTGCTCTGTGTCACATAATGTCCATTTGTTTGTCAACTGAGCATTGTTCGGCACAGGTAGCACAAATGAGCATTGTTGGAGTTGCCTAAGATCTTGTTAGATAGGGTTTATTTGGTTAAGCTTATTTATAATCTAAGTAAACAGGATGCATTTAGAGATGTGTGACTTGGGGGAATTATTACCTGTACCTGTGTTTTGATGGATACATGACTTTTTTTTTTTTTTTTTTTGGGGGGGGGGGGTGCATGGTTAAAAATGCTATAGAGTAGACGACCAATTTTAATTATTATAATAATAATATGCAGGAAATATAATTGGAAAAATTTATTGGATTTGTCTAGTTTTGCTTATTTTTAATTAGTGTTTTTATTTTTTTTTATGAGAGAACTCTGTTCTTCAAAAGCTATTGAGGGGGGAGGGAGCTTTTTCAGGTAAGATTTCAGGAGAGGGATACCTTGCGCATCTTGTATACTTTAAACCTCCCACCCTCCAGTCCACTCCAACCAATTCCACCAGTCATTGTGAAATTTGCTTAAAAAGAAAAAAAAAAGGCAATTACAGTGTGTTTCACTAGAGTCCGATGTCTGCTGTGCTGCCTGGGTGAATCAAGCAACAAATCAAAACACAAATAAAATCAAGATGTCTTGAGCATCTACCACATTTTGCATTATAATTTTTAAGTACTTTGAGTATTAGTACTAGTAAGTGGAATTGATGATGATTTATCTGTATTAATTGGTAAATCATGATTTTGTGGTCTTGTGAGATAAAGTAACATTGTCTTCTGCCGACCAATGGATTGTTTTTGTCATCTGCCTGTGCTGCCCCCTATCTACTAAATATCAAATTTTGATGTGTTTTCGTGGTTAACCATCCTATTGTTATCTTTGCGAAACACTTGCTGGTGACATCAAGTCAAAATTACCATAGTTCTTCTTAGTTTTACTTCATGAAAATTAGTTTGTCTTTAGTTTTTAAAACAAGGCTTTACCCAGCAAACCGTCCAGCCGTCATTCGGATGGCCACAAGCATCACCGGACAGCCAATATTTTAAAAGATGATTGGATGGCTTATGAATTTTTTAAAATAATGGCTTAGACTCCCCACCCTGAGTGAGACTCCCTGAAATTCTGTTGGAAATTACAGGTTATTACTTTTGATGGCCTGTTCCCCCAAACATGGGATAAGCCCTGTTTTAAAATGATGGCAATTTTTTCTAGTAAAATAATTTCAAAGCATCTTTACAAGTAGGGGAGAAAATCCCCTTACCACTTATAGAAATAATCAGAATGTATTGCCTTATAGCTGTTTGCAGTATCATTTTACCTAGTGCAAAAGGACAGAAGAAAAAAAAATAAAAAAGTCTACTAGATTAGCTTGAACAACTACGGTATATTTTAATGAGGTTGACCATGTACAGTCATGGTTGTCACAGGCAGGACTTTAAACAGGGTACGGCAGCTGTAAAGGCAAGGCTGGTTGCCTTTCTGACAGAATTCCAAGTTTTGGTTGACAGAATTAATCATGGCTGGTGAAGAAACTTCAGCAAAGTCGCACAGACTGTCGCAGCTTTTAGATGAACATGTTTGTATTTTTGGGTAAGTTTTCTATATGAATTTCACTCATGTTTTCACCTTTATTATCTTTTGCCAATGAATGAGGTGATGTTATGTGTGACTATTTGTTTGTGGATAAGATGTCTCAAAAAGTTTCTTTCAAAATATGATGAATATTTCAGGGTAAAGAGTTATGCAATGAATAAAGTGATTACAATTTCAACTAACATCTTTTATGCATTCCTTATTGCCTTTCTGCTGGGGAGAGGGGTTCCTATACTCTTGGGGTGTTGTCTAGTTTAATGTTGCTGAGTACTTACCCTGGCTTGCATCTCGTACATTTTTAATTTCATTATTATTATTATTATTATTTTTTTTTTTTTTTTTTTTTTTGAGAAAGTTACTACTTATCTTGGGAATTTTTGCTTAATGCAATTCTAGTTATAATCTTATGGATAGAAATATATATTAAGTGAAAAAATATTGTAGGTAAATATGACTCTGATTATAGACAAGCTGTAATCAGAGGGTGCCCCTCCTTTTGGGTAATGGAGCTTTTTTATGCAGCATGCAACTTGTAAAAGGGGTTACTGAAGCTAAAATACAGCCATAACTCATTTAAGAGGCTACTAGTACCCCTTCGTAGGATTTTTTTTCCCAACTTGCAACTTAACCTTGTGTAAGAGGCTGAGCTGTGACTGCTAAAACAGGGGCCGTCTGTCTCTATCTCATTAACCTGTCTTATTTTGATAACAGTGACTCCATCTAGTGGCAGGAATGTTTGGAGGCATTTCCTCCTACAGTGCATATAGTCGTTTAGCAGATCCTGTGAGAGACAAGGCATGGAGAGCTTATAAATGATCTTTTCATCTGTTAATACTACTAGCACTTTGCACATACAATTTTCTACGTCAGGGACAGGAGCAGTTGTAAGTTTACCTGGTGGGCCACAGCCAGAGACAAGCAGTTTTTTTTATATATAAACAGCTCAAGACAATAGCAAGAGGTCTGGAATATTTACATTACACTGCGTAGAGTGTGCCAAGAAACTGGAGGTGGTGTGAGAAGCATCCTGATGATCTTTTAGCTGTTAAATATCTAAGCAGTTAATTGCAGTGACTTATTTGGTTTGGGACAGAAGTCATAGACATCCAGTTTTTATACACTGGTTTATACCAGTAGTACTGGGGGTCTGTTTCCAACCTTTGCTGTGTTTTTGACTTATTATGAGAAATCAAATACTAGTACTAGTAAGAGACTTTAGAAATCAGTGAGAAGAATACTAATAGTATCTTATAGTAGTTGTTTACCTCCTGCATATTTTACTGTGTTTCACCTGGGACAAAGCCAAGGGCATCTGTGTAGGCTTTGTGTTATTTGTGCTATTTACTGTGTATGTAGCAGCAAAAGCAAGGCCACAGTTTATAAAAACTGATATATTACATGGACAAGTGTGAGTCAGCAGCTGCCCAGCTTCCTGTGCTTCAAGGTTCCAAGAAGTTGTAGCACAATTTTGAAATCTTACCAAGCTTTATTCTTAAGCTTGAGATCAATAAGTTACCTGTAGGACTTTTTAGAATCTAGTCTCAAGGTAAATTAGCCTAGAGGAAGAAGTACAAGAAATCTGCCTCAGATCTTGATCAGAACATATAAACTATAGGGGTGAAATACATCTGGTGTGGGATCGAGCTGAATACGCATCTAAGACCTTTACACCACTGAGAGGTACTAACGGAAACATATAAAGCAGAGGGAAGCAGACTGTAATTTAAACCAGGTTTTGGTGGTCATTAACTTGCCCTGGGAAGGATAATTCTAGAAAAAAAGGCATCCAAATCAAAAACTGACCAGCTAGAAGGGTTAATATTGCCTGTGCTTCAGCATACAAAGAAGAGGTTGGCAGCTGTGGAGTTCCTTGGCAAAACGTTGTTCAATTTTGAGGAGGATTCTTTTGAAATCTGACGGGAACATTTCTACAAAATAGTTTTTACCTCTGGTTCTCTGAAATCTCCAGCGGAAATTGGGTTTGACCTTGAGTTGTGTGGATATTGGGTTAACTAGAGAAGATCTTCCGACTACTAGTATAGAGGGAAGTGAAGAGATTATGGCACCAGTTCTCTCCAACATGAGGTAAGTATTTCACACTTCTGCTAATCAGGGAGATTATATGTCTACTAGTACATCAATGTTGGTTTCTCAGTGTCTGTGTGTCTGTTTTTCAGAGTCCTAGGTATTTTATCTCAAAAAAGCACTTGGTGAAAAATTTTGGATGAAATGTACAGAAAAAAAAATTTAATTCAGGATGGTAAAAAGTGATGACAGTTTGACTTGAATTGGCTAATCCAAAAGCCAGAAAGATGCCTTTTTAAGTCTCTGTTTGAAGGGAAAGGTCATGGTTTGTGTTGAGTAATGAGCTTGTAGTGGATGACTTCCCACCTGGGAATATTAAAATGATCTTGAGAATCTGAGAGAGAAAGAGAGAGAGAGGGGGGAAGGGAGGAGGAGGGTCTAAAAATTCAGACCAACACCTACTACTACTTTATTAGTGTGTATGTAAGACTACTATGACTTAATCGTCCTCTGAATAAGACCAATACTATGTTCTAAAACTAAAAAGTTAACACCAATTTAGGGGCTCAAGTTCCTCCTGGCTCCTACACTCGCTGACCCCTTGGTTCCCAGTGAAATAACACATTGTTGTTCTCATCATCATCAGTGTTGAACAGGGAATTTAACCCCGAATCTCAGCTAATAGCTAACCTCAGGGGTAGAAATGGGAGTTAATTACAGAGGAGCATGCAACATGAACTTGACTACTAACTTTGGATGTCACATGTTTGGCAGGCTTGCTGTGCTGAAACCTAGATATTGCAGGCTAAATGGCTTGCTGGGATTTAAAAATATGGCAATCCCTGACCAGATATATATATATAATTTTTTATGCTGTACTAGTAAGGTTTTATTTATCCATGATATTATGACCTTAGTGTGTGGAATGTTTGTGAAATTAGATGTTAAAAATAACCCGGAAAGAACTTTTGGACAGTGCTACAAATGAATGAAAGGATAGTAGTATGTGAATGGATGGAAGGAAGGAAGGAAGGTGTATGGGTGGTAGAATAAATTAATTAATGATAAGGTGAATTTGAATTTAGAAATAAAAGGGAAATATTGGATAAGAGATAAGACTTGTCTCATGGAAAATTTCACACCAAGAACTTTTTAGGTCTGTGTCTTTTAAAACACTTTTTTGGGGTTTCCCCTTTCTTCTTCGTGTTTAATAGTGTTTTTCATTGAGGCTACATTCTGTAGAGTTAGGGACAAGGGTTCTTTGTATTGAGATTACCAACAGTATCAAGTGGCACTTATAATTCTACCCTTGTCAGTGTTTTCCTCAAATTAAGTAGATTACTATAAATCTCTAACCCTGCCTGGGCAATTAATGGTTTCAGAATGATTCTCAAAACGTACTGACTCTCAAAAGTCATTGAAAGCTCACCTTTTCGTTATCAGCAATTATTAGATATGGCAGAAGCATGCTACTAGTAATAGAAGAGAGGTGAGTTCAAGGAGCATCTAACATTCAGGGAGGCAGACTCAAAAAGACTGGGGACAGGATTTTTTGCGTGAAAGATACAATGTACAAGTTTCACTTTTTTTTTTTTTTTTTTAAAGTTTAAGTCACTACAACTAGTCCGGTGGCTTAAGGAAAAAATCGTGACACGGCGGATAAAAGCACTAAATTTTGCATGTGGGTACCTTTTGGCATTCTAAATCAAATTAGAGCCGTAGCCCACGGAAAAAATTTACCATTTGGCCAAAAAATCCAAAATGGCCGCCAATTTATTGAATTCTTTAGAAATATGTACATACCTATGTTGATTTTTATCAAATAAATTATTTTCTCAGAGTTTTCCACACCCTTATTACCCATTTTATTCATATATGTCAGATAGCAAACAAGTCCCCTTGAACTTTTTGAAAAAATCCAAGATGGCTGTCATTTGCCATATAACAGCCATATGAATACTAGTGCACAACTATTACCAGCTAGAACGATAGGTTGTCCACTATCAAATTAAGTCTGTTTCTCAGATCTTTGTTACCCACATAATATTTTTGTGGTGAGTAACTACGAAGTGTTCTTGGGCATTTTGGAAAATCCAAGATGGCTGCCATGTGCCACAGGAATTCTAGTATATGGGGGATTCAACTAATGGCAACTGGAAAGATTCGTTTTTCACTATCAAATTAAGCTGGTTTCTGAGTGTTTTCCACATCCTTTCTACCCACACAATATGTATGTGGTGCGTAACTAACAGTATTCTTGAGCATTTTGAGAAAATCCAAGATGGCCGTCATATGTAATAGGAATACTTCTAGTATTACAAAGGGTTGGAACTAATGCCAGCTAATTCACTATCAAATTCAGTTTATTTTTTTAGTATTTTACACATTATTATTACACTGTGATACATATCTAGCAGGTAATAAATGTGCATATTTGATCATTTTGAGAAAACCCAAGATGGCCGTCACTGGCCATAGGAATACTACTGGAATAACAACTGCACATCCATGGCTTTTCATCTACTACCAGGGTGAATTTGTGTTTGCTTATCAAGTTTTGCCCATCCTTATTAGTCCTATGATATATATCTGGTGGGTAAATAGTGTGCATCTTTGGATATTCTGAGAAAAAGATACCTACAATTTAACATAGGAATACTAATGGGTGGGTTTCAATTGCTGCTAGAGAGGCATATGGTTCATTATACAATTACATCTCCATGGGTTTGTTTTAAAAATAATTTATGTTTTTCATTCCATTTATTATTACCCCTATGATGTATACCTGGTCTGTAGCATGTGTGTATCTTTGGTTATTCTGAAAAAATTCAAGATGTCTGCCTTTTGTCATTAGAATATTCGAACACATAATCAAATTATGCTAGAGATACAATGAGTGCGATTTAAATGTAGTTAACTTTGGGTCGTTTTTAAATGTTTTTCATATCCTATTTATCCTTATGAAAGACTCTGTGTGTTTTGAAAGTGTATGTATCCTTGAGTATTATTCGGAGAAAACCCAAGATAGCTGCCAGTTGTCATAGGAATATATCATTCAAATGCACATAGGTGTCAATTAATAGAACAGTTCAGACATTGATTCCAACATGAAATAAAGCCTTTGATGTTTAAACATGTTGACATCCTTATTAACCTTACTCTTTATAAATCTGGTGTGTAGCAAGTGTGCATCTTGCGTATTTGAGAAAATTCAAGATTGCTGCAATTCACAATAGGAATAGTACAGTCAACTACTGCCAGAGAGACATTGGGTTCAATATAAAATGAATTTTGTTTCTCGGTATTTCACACATTCTTTTTGGACTTTTAGATATCTGTCTGGTGGGTAACAAGTGTATACCCTTAAGTATTTTGAAAAAACATCATGATTACCCTCATTTGCCGTAGAAGTGCCTATAAAATCTAATGCACCAGTTTTCCTATGGGGAAAAGAAGGCTATCTTGGATTTGGGGGTGTCTCGATAGTCCGAAGGTTCATTGGTACGAAAAGTGGTAACGTTTTCATCGCTTTTTTAATCAAGGGTTCATTGGTCTGAAGGTTCTATAGTGAACATTCGGACCAATGGACCGTCGGACTATTGAACCTTCGGACTATCGCTACGGCCCCCTTGGATTTCCCCAAAATGATAAAATATGGACATTAATTACATAACAGATATGTATCATGGGATAACAATACTAAAAAAAAAAACAGAAAAACAACTGAATTCAGCTTCATTTTATTTGTAAGCCTATCTCTCGCAGGTACTGTATTAACTGAACCCCACCTTCTATGACTAACGGCAGCCATTTTGTTTTGTTTTGTTTTCAAAAAGGATATACATAACATTCTCATCACATATGTATTATGTGAATTAAAAAGACGTGGAAAATACTCAGAAACAAACCTAATTTATCAATTAATATTATATTTCCATGGCAGAAGAACCCTACGTGAATACTAGTATTCCTTTGATATGGGGGTCATCTTGGATTTTTCTCGAATTGCCTGTGAATAAAGGTTAGCTACTCATATTATTTGTGTAATAAGAAACAAAATTAATTAGATAGTGGGCAATGCATCTTCCTAGTTGGCATTAGTTAGTTGAAAACCCTTGTACATGTTCTAGTATTCCTATGCCACACGGCGGCCATCTTGGATTTTTCAATAAGTCCAAGGACACTAGTTTGTTATCTGACACATATGCATAATATGGGTAATAAGGATGTGAAAAACATTGAGAAAATACTTAATTTGGTAAAAATCAACATAGATATGTATGTATTTCTACAAAATTTCAAAAATTGGCGGCCATTTTGGATTTTTTGGCCAAACGGTAATTTTTTTCCGTGGGCTACGGCTCTAATTTGATTTAGTATGTCAAAAGGTACCCACATGCAAAATTTGGTGCTTTTATCCGCTGTGTCACGATTTGGCCATTTTTTTGCCCTAAGCAACCGGACTAGATGCACCTCGAGGAAAGATAATGTTAATTTCATTAAACCAATGACTTATTTTCATGGAGTACAAGTACAGAAAATTTAATTAAAATTTGATCAAAGTATATCTCCAGGTAAAGGTGGGATAAACATATCATCTCACTGATTCAATTAACCCTTTGATGAATACTCTGTTACTTCTAATTGCTTCATTACTCCCCACCCCCCTTGATTAAGTTAGCCTTGATTCAATGTGCTATTTAGGGAGAGGTGGAGTAAACATATTCTCCCGCTTATCTAGTATCCCTTTGATTATCTGTCACTTGTAATTGCTTGACTACTATACCCACCTACCTACTACCCACCACACTGACAATATTCAAAGAATTTGTTATAAAGTAATTTGTTTAATGAATTAATGCATTATCACACTAAAAATATTAATAAATTGAATGAAACGTTTTGAACTTAACACTTATTTACTTCATATTTATATATAAATATATATTTCTTGGGGGGTCGTCCGGGGGGGATTGTCCTGGGGGAATTGTCCGGGGGGTTATCCTAGAATCCACTTAATGCATATAGACTTGATTTCAATTTGAATTCCGACGTGTTGC